GTGGCTAACACCCCAGAGGACAGGTTCACACTTCAAAACGACCTTGACAGATTAGAGAACTGGGCCCAAACAAACAAGATGAATTTTAACAGGGAGAAATGTAAAGTATTGCACTTGGGCAAAAAAAATGAGAGGCACAAATACAAGATGGGTGACACCTGGCTTGAGAGCAGTACATGTGAAATGGATCTAGGAGTCTTGGTTGACCACAAACTTGACATGAGCCAACAGTGTGACGCGGCAGCTAAAAAAGCCAATGCAATTCTGGGCTGCATCAATAGGAGTATAGCATCTAGATCAAGGGAAGTAATAGTGCCACTGTATTCTGTTCTGGTCAGACCTCACCTGGAGTACTGTGTCCAGTTCTGGGCACCACAGTTCAAGAAGGACAGTGACAAACTCGAACGTGTCCAGAGGAGGGCAACCAAAATGGTCAAAGGCCTGGAAACGATGCCTTATGAGGAACGGCTAAGGGAGCTGGGCATGTTTAGCCTGGAGAAGAGGAAGTTAAGGGGTGATATGATAGCCATGTTCAAATATATAAAAGGATGTCACATAGAGGAGGGAGAAAGGATGTTCTCTGCTGCTCCAGAGAAGCGGACACGGAGCAATGGATCCAAACTACAAGAAAGAAGATTCCACCTAAACATTAGGAAGAACTTCCTGACAGTAAGAGCTGTTCGACAGTGGAATTTGCTGCCAAGGAGTGTGGTGGAGTCTCCTACTTTGGAGGTCTTTAAGCAGAGGCTTGACAACCATATGTCAGGAGTGCTCTGATGGTGTTTCCTGCTTGGCAGGGGGTTGGACTCGATGGCCCTTGTGGTCTCTTCCAACTCTATGATTCTATGATTCTATGATTCTATACTGCTCCGGTGGGAAGGTAAACGGCATTTCTGTGCGCTGCTCTGGTTCGGCAGAAGCGGCTTAGTCATGCTGGCCACATGACCCGGAAGCTGTACGCCGGCTCCCTTGGCCAATAAAGCAAGATGAGCGCCGCAACCCCAGAGTCGTCCATGACTGGACCTAACGGCCAGGGGTCCCTTTACCTTTAATAGGTATCTAAAGCCATTTGCGCATAACAAAATATGTATTTTATCAAAGTAATTGTTGAACTGAAATACAATTAAGTATATTATATTTATCTTATATTTTGGAAATGTACACCCAGTTTTTGTTCCCTTAATTTGGGGGGGGGCAAGAGAGTAGGGCTCTAAGCTATGGCTTGTTTAGCTTATACATAAATCTGGCACTGCCCTCACAGCCCCCAAGGTCATGACAGCACTCTGGTTAACACACCATACAACTATCCTGCTTTGCAGGGCCTGTAGGAGAGAGCAGCTTTTGTTTGTTTTTCTGCTGCATGGGCATTTAAACTTTAAAGTCTTAAATAAATGAAGCAGTGGCTAGAAGGTCAGGCCCTTCCTCAACAAGCCTTTGAAGAAATGAAGTGACGACTTATTTTCATTCTCCGGCCTTCCTCGTGTTCCAAAATAACTCCCATTTGCTGAAACATCTTTAAAACAAAAATGCACATGCATTTTAAAAAGAACACAGCAACTCAAAATACTACATCAGCTTATGCTTGATAGTACCGGAACAACTTTCAAATCATTTTTCTGCTTGTGGAGCACAGCTCTTGCTTTGATCAACGCCATAAAGGGAACAGGGACATTTATTAATCTGTTATAGTCAAGGGCGAGTGCAGAAGGCCTTCTGCATCGCCGCTTGAGCTAGCAGAACAGACTAAGGCTGTAATCGCAGCCCCACTTACTGACAAGTAAGCGCCATGGAACAATTTGGGGCTTACCTTTGAGCAAAGCATTATATGATTCAACAGACACCCCTGCGACCTAAGATTTCCACCACACTATGTTTGCTTTGTGGCAGTCTCACATATGCCCAAAATGAAAAGACTGACCACGAAATGGGAGCATGAGGAGGGAAAGACAAGGAATAATTCCTACTTCAGATATATTACATCTGATGAGTAAAATGATTAAGGGTTATTTACTTATCTTATTTTATTTGAAAAATGTACTTGCCACTAAACATTTCTGGCAGAAATCCCTAAGTAGTCTACATAAATTTATGAAATCAAAATGCCAAAAATGCAATTAAAATACAAATAAAAGTTCACATACATACATTGTTCTGAAAATGAGCCACACTCACCCCACCCCCACCCCCAAAATAATCTGGTTTGTATAATTGCATTTTTTTTTAATGGGTAGAGAAGTGGTGACTTGAGACCTCAGGAATTGTGCAGCATTTCGGTAGTTTTTTGTAAAAGGATCACCCATGCTTCTTGACAAGGTGGTGCTGGTTGCCCAGTGAGTTATTCATTGTGAGATAAGTCTAGAGGGTGCATGTGATTTTAAGATTATAAAAAACACTGGATGCTACCAGAGATTTATGGGTGTGGGTGTATTCCATTTAACAATACCTCATTATAGGGGTGCAACCTATATTCAGGTTTGGCTTAAAATTGAAACAACACAGTACATTTAAGACCCGTAATTTAAAACAAGTCAGTTGCTGAACAGGATAAGACTCTCAAACTTCCAAAATAGGCCTGGGGAGACAATTGGGTTTTTAGGAGATGTTTGAAGGACATTCCAGAATATCTTTTTGGCGAGGGTATTCTACACTGTTGGCGTTACCACAGGAAAAGAAAGTATCTGAGAGGCTGAATGCAAAAAAAGAAAAAATGAAATGTATTAGCAGAAACACTTTAAAATCCCCAAAGGGAAAGCTTTGCCAAATCAGTTAACACATAAGAAGTCAGGTGTGAATTATACTCCCCTAGATGGTTGCTGCTCATCAGAGGAACACATTCATTGGCATTTACTTATTTTATTTTTTATATATTAAATTTATATACCGCCCTTCATCTGTAGATCTCAGGGTGGCTCATTGTAGGGAGGCGATGAGAACCTGAGCTTCTTGAAGAAAGGGTGGGATAGCTAGATTACACAGCTATTCATGAAAAGGCTGAATCCTACCTGGTTTTTAAGGGGAAGCACAAACTCCTCCAAAATAGGCCATTTACTTACTCCTAGATCACCAGATACTCTGTCTTATCTGGATAAAGCTTCTGCTTGTTTGCCCTCAACTAATTCAAAACTTTGTATTAACTCTGGGTGTTCCAAGATCAGGAATGTAACCCAAAGCTGCTTATGAGGCAGTGGTTATGCTGCAGATCCTCATTTTTATGAATTTGGTATTTGTGCTTGCACTCTCTCACCTCGGCTGCGTAGCAAAAAAGCTGTAACGCATAGTAGTAGCTGCTCTTGATTTAAAGACCAATATGCAGCAAACCTTCATAGACCATTCTAGGGGTACATGCGGAAACGCAAGAACTGTGCATTTCCTGTACCGAGGCCTAATTTTAATAGAGATCACTAAGCGCCATTTGCCTTTCTTCTCTGTTAATTCTCCTAACTGAAATGTCATTTCAAACCACATGGAACAAATGTGTCTCCCAATTTCAAAACACTGCTGGGAATTCCCGGTTCAACAGTGCAAGTGCTCCACCTACAGTCACCATGGACAATACTGTATTCCGATGAGCAGGAATTCATTGAGGTGTTGCTAGCCTGTGTCCTTCTCCCTGCTCTTCTATGCCCACAGCGGCCCCTGGTGTGTAGAGCAAAATGCCTGCCCAAAGATGTTTCAGTCCTGCTCAGTGTTAAGCCCCAAAACAGTTTTGTTTTGATTGTCTCACTGGAAATAATTGAACAGATTGTTCCATAAGCCTCTGGCATGCAGCTGGGAATCGGGTGTGGTTATCAGCAAGTCAGGAAAGACCAGCAAGCTGGCACAAACCAGATGGAGAGCATATAAGTTACATAACCTGTACATGATGGGTCTAGCTCTGCAACTTGGAAAATGGACCTAAATACTTGATGATAATGGACCTACTAAAAGACAGAAATTCCCCCAAAATTGGCCATATACGCCCCAGTTTCTTTGGATCTATATGCAGAAAACTGGAAGATTCACAGGCTAGCTATTGTTAAGATGCCACTGCTTAAATACTGGTGTCTGGAAAACAGAACAATAGAAACACTTATTTCCTGCTTTGCAATATTTAAAACTCCAAATGAATCATCAGCAGTGCTTCCAGCTCTTGACTAAGTAGAGCAGGAGAAAAGACTTACCAGTGTACTTTTAATAGTTTATGGTTTCAGCTTACAGTTAACGTTATTTTAGATAATATACTAGCAACTGGGTAATCTATCCCAACTGGGTAATAAAAGTAAAACATTTAGTTAAAGCCTATCTTGGACATGAGCATTTCATTGTGTAAACTCTTCATATGACAGAATACACTGCATATAGTTACCTTTGTTTGGTTGGGTATCTAGGGCTGGGAGCTGGCATTTTCTGTTTACACATACTCTCTCTGAAAAGGTAGCAGTAGGAGTGGCATTCGTATAACATGGATGCAATTTGCAAATGTACACATGCTTATTAACACGAGAACTAGATCCTGGCTACAAAGCATTAATAGAGCATGCAATATTGGGCAATGTAATGAAGAACAGATAACCCAATACATTGAATATTTTATTATAATTGCTGAATGGGAAACTCAATGATACTTTTGAGTTCCCTGCAAAACTGGGTACAAGTGTGAATTCTAAAATATTTCTCTCTGCTCTTTTATGGTTATATTCAATCTTTTGAAACCTGCTCTCATGTGTTCTGTCAAGTCATTTATTCATTTAAATAGTAGTCTTGAGTTATGCATTCACCCTGAGCCCATGACACAGCAAGGACAAAAAACAAATAAAACGTCTCACCTGAATGGCCAAGTTCCTTTGATACAGTGGGAAGGGCAACATTTTAACTACTGGAATACCTCATACCACTTTTCAGTGGCTAACAGAAAACCCTGACACACTGCAAGCCTTTCTCAGATACAGTTAGATTCTGTAAATTCTGCAGACCCCAAACTTAGTACATTATCAGAACCCAATAAATCAGAACAAGATTGGTTAAAGAGGAACAATGAAAATGGCTTTATTGTGTTTAGCAGACCTGGGAGGATAAATTATAACCTGGTAACATTCTGAAGGTACTGAACATTTTGTACATCAACAGATATGAGGAGCTTCACTCAGCACATTATTGAATGGGGACACAACTGAAAGAGAAAAAGGAACATAAATGCCGCAAAAAAACACCTTTGCTCATTCCCATTTTAAGCCCAACAGCTAGCTAACAATTACTTCCATCTCTGACTTTCATGCTTTAAAAAGGAAGGGTGGTGGGGAGAGAAAAGGAACTGCTGAAATTTCTTTGGGGTGGGCAGGGGAAAGAGAAGAGCAGAAATTACTACAATGCAGGCAATCTTCAAAACAGAGTTTGCAAAGCCAGCTTGATATTTAAGTCTCAAGGACATTAAAAGTACAAATAGGGACCTGTCTATTTGTACTTACAGTATTCTGTACAATGAAGGTTCTATAGTGCTTTTGTAAGCCAGCATTATTCTTCAACCAGTGTGATTTAATTATTACTAGTGCCGTTTTTCCAGGTCTAACAGATAGGGAAGCCTATAAATGAGCCAATATAAATAGTAATGTACTTATAACCCAAGTAACCCAGCAGTGCCATCCTTTTAGGAGAGAATGTTTTGTGCAGGGACATGACCACCATAAGCTGTGTAACTACTGTAAACCAAATTGCTTAATACGGCCGTCTAAGTCCCTTAGCTTTGTTATCCCTTTCACCCCTCCAATACCTGAGCCAACCCACTTTATCTGGTGGGCCTCTTGATGGGCATAACTACTCCAGGTTTCTAAGCTTCCCCTCCGTACTTAAGGGAGAGAAATTGAGCATGAAAAGCAATGACGTTAAGTGGATCCTTTATCAGCTTGCCTCACTACCACTCTGCACACCAGATATCCCTGGAATCCCTTACTAGTTAAGCACCTAGGTTCCCCCTTCAGCCAGTTGTCAGGATGCAGTAACCTAGATAAGGAGCCAACAAATACAGATAAGGTAAGCATTTAATTCATAGGAAATCTGATATGGTTATTTTTCAGGCAACACTTTAAACCTCAGTGCTTAACTAAATCTAAATCTGTAATGTGTGTAATTATGTCAAAATAAAACAGATTTTATCTGTAAGTCAGCCTGAATATTTGTGTTCTGCACTGACTGGCAGAGGCTGGAACTTTGTGTTCTCCAAAGTCTTTAGGTGAAGGAAGTTCCCTCATTTGGGGAGAGCCCTCTTCATATAGCGCCATAATGCATGGATGGTGAGCAGAGACACTGTCTGTTGAACTGCAGTCTTATAATGGGACATTGAGGTGGCTGTGAATCTGAGCAAATATGAATGTCTGCTACCTTTCTGTTGCCACAGATCCCATGTGCTGCAGAGGAAGCAGAGAGAACATGGAAGAGGCAAATGCATCAACAGCCTCTCTCTTTCTCTTTTTCCTTTGTTCAAGTTGTGAAACCTCACAGAGGAGTTGTCTTCTCTTAAGGAGCTTCAGAACCCACAAGTTTAAAGACAGAGCATTGTTGCTTGATCACCACCCAAACAGGGCAAATGAATGTTAAATAAGGGGGTGGGGGAGAGAATCAAACTGCCAATCCTAAAGAAACGGCAGTTTAGAAAAATATTTGTTTCCGTTTCCTTATTTTTCTACTTCAATTTTCTGGAATGCTAACACAACCTTCGTACACAACTGGAAAACATTTCACACTGAACTGGAAAACATTTCACACTGAAAATCCTCTTTATGAAGCTAAGCAAGCATATAAAGCTGTCTCAATAGCTGCAGCAAGCTTAATAAATAGCTTTCCAAGTGCCTGCCTTTAAAATAGCACAGTAAGTGCTATACTTTATGCTCTATTGGTGGCGCATATGTCAAGAAAATGCAGTTCAATTCTGTTCTTGTTGAAATCATGTCACCCCTAGCTCATTCAATAGCTAGAAAATTACACATTTCTTCCATAATTAAATAATTGCTCACAACTAGAGGGTTTGGCATATCACCCTGACTAGAGCATCTGCAAATCTTCACACTGGATCATGTACACCATATTTCAGAAGGTAAATGTGTTCCTTTACAATCAGCCCTCCTGGTGTTTCCATAAATTTAGCACTACATCTAGTCATTTGTGTACCAGCTGAATTACCTTCACTGAAAGTTGGATACACCTAAGCCTGAGCCACTTATGCTCCACTCTCTTTGTGATGTGCATGGTCTGGTATCAATCAGAAAGGCATTTGGCAGCAAGGTGACATAGTATCCATATTGTGTAGAGAGTGTCTGGTGTGATGGTGAAACTATTTTGACCTTCACGAAACTGAGATAAGCTGCTCTATGCTGAAGGCGAGATCTTAGGTCCATCCTACATTACAGGCTATGTGAGAAGCACTCTATATTTACTGCTTAAGTCCTCCACCCTCAACCCAATGTGGAGAACCTAAAGAACTTCTTTCTCCATTATCAATGGACAAAGAATTTTTTCACCCACAGTCAGTGAAGGCTCATTACAGTCTGTTCTCTCAAAGAAGCCCTGCTCACTGGTCAATCTTTTGGAAACAGCCCAGAAAAGAGCCATGCAGCATGACATTTGGGTAGAAGATATTGGAGAGGGTCCATGTTCCTCAAGGCTGTGGCCCACCACTTTGGGAGCCTTACCCTAGGGATATTTCTGCTCCTGTATATCCCCCCTTGTGTAAAGATTGTCCTTTGGACTCTGGATTAAAAGAGAGAGACGGGTTAAAACAAAAGCATGAATTCGGGCATCCAGAGGGCTGTCTACCTTATTTGGCCTTAGGTGTTTCTGGCCAGCCCTCACCTTTTGCAGGTTAGATGTCTTAAGCAGCTCCTGAGAGGTAGGGGAGGAGAGACAGCCCCTGTTCCCTTTTGGAGGCATCTCCCTCCTTGCCCCATTTATCTTCAGAAAACTTATCAATACAGACAACTCTGGCCAAAGAAAAAGCCCATCATGCCCTTTGTTACCATTAATCTCCCCTGAGTGTTCTTCTTTTCCAGCTCAAATCAAACAGGGAAAGGGCTATATGATCTGCCTCAATCTACAGGATCCTTGCTATTGCTGAGCAATTTATTTGGTAGGCATGGAATCCTCAGCAGGGGTAGGGATGTGAGACCAGGTCTACCTGTGGACTTCAATAACAACTCTGTTAGGATGTTGTGCTTCCTACACTATGCCTGGATCTGGATTGCTCTGATCTGGACCCAGGTAAGCTAAGGGAACTCATGTGGAAGCCGCTGGATATTAAGTGTCAACATGATGTTTTTTGTCTGCTGCCCATCTAGGTGGGAAGCAGCTGGTGTGTTCAGTCCAATTTTCTCTTCCCCAGCTGAGGGGGAAGGCAGAACCAGATGTCAGGACAGAGGGGAAGATGAAGGAAGAAGCTGCTCTCTAGTCAGCTTAAATTTATTTTAAAAAGAACCCCCGTTATAATTTCCCTTCCCCAACCATCTGGTCACACTGAAATAGTGGGGGGAACAATAGCAAGTACTCAGGAAAAAAGTGAAATCCGAAAACAGAAGATGAAAGAACTCTGAAAAACACCCTGCTTCCTTGCTATGAGACAGGGCCAGTCAGGGAAGAGGAGCTTCTGCCCTTAGCGAAGTTAAAAGAATGACCTGTTTGATACTTTCTGTGGTGATTTGACAAGATTTTACAATCACAAGCGGCTGTTTAGTACATCTCAAACATGGTGCTTTTGTGCCAGACTTGCCTACTTCATACGAAATGGAGATTGTGGCGGTGGAGGGAGATAGAAAACGGAGTAATGTACAAGGTTGGTTATCTCCTTCAAAGGTCAGTTTTCTAGAGGGAAATGTTTTCCGCAGCTGGAAACCTGGCCAGAACAGAATTTGGAAAGTGTGAAAGCAAGAGAAGACTGACATTTTATAGTAAGAAGCATTTAAGGAAAAACTGAAATGAAGCAATTAGGAAGGGCATGGAGCCCACGAGAGGAGGATTAGAGCGTAAGATTTAGGAACTCTAAGGCTTTATTGACCTGAAATCACTCTTGTGTTTGAGGGAAAATAAACTTATGAAACTTACAAAATCAAAAAGCTTCCACAGTTTTGCATAAACAAAAGTACATTCATGAGAGCCACAAATTCACAGAAGTCTTAATGCCCTACTAATTTTGCAGTCTTCAATAACAACTCTCTTAGGTCTGCAATGAAAAAAGTATTAGATGCCACACACAGTTTGATTCATTAAAATATGCATTCATTTGTAATGTATATTTCTTGAAGTTGGGTGGGTTGCTTTGAAATTTTGCCTTACAATGAATGAGTTATTCACAATGCATTTTAAATAGAAGGAACTGTAGTTCTTCCAGAACTGAAGGTATAATTTTCTTTTTTAAAAAAACCTGAATCCGTTTGACATCTATACCTGTGTAATTCGATTCAAGGCATGATAACAAGCCCTGTTCAAACCTGAAAGAGTTTGGCCCTACCTCAATCCACAAAGGAGGGAAGTGCCTGTGTATTCTCAAGGTTTTACCCTCTCAGAGTAGTACCTTTCCTCTGGGTTCCTGAGAAAGGCAGAGGTGACCCAGAATCTCGATGTCCAGTGGTGCAGTAGCCAAAAAATAGATGAAGAGACTTGCTGCTTTTCAGCATACATTTCCAAAATTCTATATTCCTCTGTGGGCTCCTCCATCTCTTGCAGGCGTAAAGAAAGATAGTTCCGCTAATCCCAATCATCCAGATTCTATTCCACCAGCCAAAATCAAATTCGAATCATGTGTAATACAGCTTGTCACCCTCCCCTTCAGTTTTTCTTAGCAGTCTTGCAAACATACTAGAAAAAACTAGCATTTGATAGAAAAATTGTCTATGAAATAGTCTCACATGGTGGGTCAACATAGATCATAATTCCATATGCGCTGCCATTTCTGTGGAAGAGAAGTGGAGAGGGGAAATATGTATGAAAGTTACATAACCATGACTTTAGAACCACTTTTAAAAAAGCAGTTAATATACTGATTTTCCAAAGGTCAAAATGACTGAGGGACTGACTACCATTTCTTCTAGTGCAGACGTCTCACCTTTGGCACAATAAAACCTGCATAGTCAGTTATCACAGATTGAAGTTTAAATGGCTCAGTATAGTATATTTTCTGCATTTATGCCTTAAAATGGTCCAATTTGAGCATTTGTGTCTTAGGAAACGGCCAGACAACTCCATCAGCAGGCACACCTGACCTCAGTGTACAGGTAACAGCTGCATCTTAAAAGCAGTGTGAGGGAAACCAATTACCTTCTCGACTTTGTGGTTTAGTTTCATTTGTCTCAAAAAGCGCTCCCGATTCTTTTTCTTCATGGAAACGCCTGAAAAGCTGCTTAATTTCTTGATCGTAGTCCTGCCACTCAGGGACGATTCTCATCGCCGCCTGCAGCTTTGGCTCTTTGGTCATTGGGTTATTGCACTGCAACACAACACATAAGTCATTGCCAATCAATCTGTGGCCTTTCATACGTACAGGGAAAACTTACTGAACAGTGCCTGTGTAGCTCAAGCCTGAATATGACTGGACAGTGAAACTATGCTGCTCATTCTATTTTAATTTCACTGTTATTGGTCTGATTCACATGCCACGTTAAAACTATAGTTAAAGCAAACTATGGTTTAATAGGAATACCTGGTGTGCTGGGAAGCAAGTCAGAGTCTGGGCTTGAGCTTGTGGTTTGTTTCTCTCCAAACAAACCTTTGTTACTAAATTAAACCATAGCTTGTATTTAAATATGGTTTAATGTGATATGTGAACCAGGCCACTAACAACGGTTGCAGTTTTTCCAATTTAAACACTGTAGAATTCCACAAAATTTAGGGGATGGGTCTGAGATCCCTGAACATAGTTTCATACATATGCATTGCTATGCCAGGTTGCATATGGTCCACAGTTGTGAAGCTCTCACTGCCAGAAGGCAACAACTTTACTAAGAGGTCACAATTGATGTTTTTGGTTCCCAGGCCAGTGTTTGGAGATTAAATTACCTCCTGGGAATGCAAAATCTGAACACAACGCCCCCCTTATTTAACTGACGAAGTTCTTCTTTGAAAAAGTATGAAAGCAGGAAAGCTAGAGAAAGTATCCTTACTGCTGTGATAAAATTATAGAATTTAAACACATTGAAATCTTACTGAAATGTGGCACGTGCCCCTTCCTGCTTTGTTGTGTACAAAGGAGTCTTACCAGATCAATGGTTTTTGCTCTTTTCTTCGAAGCATCATCGCACCACGTTTCACACCAAAGCCACTCTTGCGGGAGTGATTTAATGGGCACCTGATGGATCATGTTGTTTGGCAAGTCCTGTTGGAAGGAAAACAAAATTGCAGTTCTTTTAACACAGTAATCATAAGAAAACTAAGAATAGTGCAGGCACAAGAAATCCTGGAAAAGCAAGCATGAACACAAACAAACAGCCCTCCAAACTTTAACAGCAAAAACATGACCAAAAAAAATTATACGCTGGAACACAAATCTAGCTGAGATCACCCCATGTGGTTTTCAGACCACAAAAGATTCATGAAGAAGAGACAAGAATGATGGATTACAGTTATAACAACACGAAGACATTGGACAGAATGAGAATTTGTAAGCCCACAGTATCTAGCTGTGTTTCTTTTTCAAGCCTGGCAACTATCAACCATAAATTATTGGCTTTTAAAAGCAAAGAGCTCCAGCTGGATCACATTGTTTTTTACTTGTTCATACATAACACAGTGCCATCTAAGTGACCATATTTCCTCCTGTCCCACAACTGATACACTTGGTTCTCACACCAGTCTGTCAGGATGCCAGCCCACATGCCACAGAAGGTCCCTTCAATCTATGGTTATTGAGTTCCACTTGGCCATTCACCTGCCACTAGTGCTTTATGTGTCCTCTTTTGCCTCCATACCAACCTCAATATATGTCCCCCCGCCATCAAGCACCCATCTTAATTATGTGCTGACCCTGCAGCTTTCCAAAAGATAGAACTCTGCAGATGCCTTAAAAATTAAGTTGTTTAAAATTATTTTAAAAAACACAAAACTGTAATGAAAGCATAACAAGTACCTGATCAAGGTTGGAGAGACTGTTGGGATCTTGGCTCAGGCCTTGATATTGTCCTCTAAGCCGATCCCCAGCAGCTATCTTCCGGAACTTCTTCAAATCCACAACATAGAGAGCACTAAGAACAAAGAGAGCAACTGTTTCACTGACTGCTACCTTCAGAGGTAAAATGCAAAATGCAGAGATAAGATTCTCAAAATAAATATATCACAAGCAGGCAAATTGGATGAATGTTCTAAAAAACAGAATGCATCACATTAATCTATTTGCATTTGTTCCTGTCAAAGGTAAACCCATATGTCTTATGATAAATTAACCTATAACAATGAAGATTTTGTGTCTATAAAAGGAAAGAGACTACTATTGTCTAAAATATCCAATGGACACTCTTCATTTTGTGATGGAACTTGCAATACAAGAAGCACAAATCCTACACAAAAACACATGTTTTCAACACAATTTCATCATCCTAGACAGCAGCAGCTGGATGATGCAGCGCTTTCAAGTAATACTATTAAAAAAAAGCAGAAGCAAACAGCAGCACAGTATCAGGAACAACAAACGTCTATCACCTGATGTGGTATTTTCTTCCTGCCAAGTGACTTGCCCAGTATCCTGACTTCCAGAATCTGTATCCGTCCATCTCTCTGCGACTTTCACAGAATGGTGTGTAACCGTAAGGGGCCCCGTCCAAGTTGAAATCTCTTAGCTCCTTGAGGTCTGTACGCACAATCTAAAGAAAAGTCGTTCATACCCCACTTTCAATTTCAGTTCTGTTGAGAATGTGGGACTACAACCTCCAAAAGTTATGAGAGTTATTAACTAAAGGCCCGTCAAGATTGACAGGTGAGATACACATGACAGTCCTGGCTTCTCAACTTCGCTCTCATCTCTACTACCAAGGCCATTGCCATACATGGGAACAACTCCAGACCCGCTTTACCAAATCAGGATCTGCCCTCTGTTCCTCTGACTGAACATGACCCAAGATGGCAATGAACTCTTCCTTCCCTCCTCCTGGGAACTGTACAGCTTCCTTCCACCATCCTAACATGGGCTCTGGGTGGAGAGAAAGAGCAATCAGCAACAAGCAGGTGTTGGTAGAGATATGGGATAGGCCTAACATCTGCTGAAGGCACAAGACTTGCTGTGTTTTGCCTCCCAGAGCGTTTATTCCCTGGCTGCTAATTTCTCCATTTTACTGCACTTGCCAGCAAAGATGTATGGCACATGCCTGGTAATTTTTGAAGCTTGAAGATCACTTACCTGGTCAGCATCTACAAACAGGAATTTATCAACAGCAAGGGGGAACAGCACATCCAGAAAAAGAATTTTGTAACCCCAGATGATGCGCTGCTTCTCTGTTTGCTGGTGAAGCCATCGTGGCCATTTATACTGGACTAGCTCATACTGGAAATTGTATTTTTCAGCCATATATGGGATGAATTCCTGGAACAAAATAATGCTTTGTGGTACCAACAGTTTCTGATACAAAATGACATTTAAAATACTTTATGCTGAGAGCAACACAAAAACAAAACACAATAAAAACCTTAAAGGAACCAGATATTTAGTAGTCATAGTTATTATTAGATGATGCCACTCTGGGCTGCTTTGGGAGGAAGAGCAGGATATAAACACGACAGCAAGCATCTATTGTCTCTTGTATATTTTAAATGTTTTCTGAGTTGGCTCGGGTCTTATTTTTGAGAAAATAACTTAATAAATTTAATAAATAAAATTACTACTACTACTACTACTCCTCCTCCTACTAATCTCTCAATGATAAAGGTGCACGTGCAAGTAGCTGAAGATACACAGAAACAGACATAGCAGAGGGAGAGGGGCTGGGAAGCTTCAGGCTTCCAACAAAGAAAATATAAAGCAAGTTCTTACAACAAACCTTAAACGTAGGTGACAAATAGTTCTTCAGGAACCAGAACTTCACTGGAGTTTGTGTGTGCTTCAGCACAGATAGCATCATTATCCTGTTAAGGCAATAGATAGGCAAAGGTGATTAAAAAAAATTAATAAATCTAGAACTAACCCAAATTAGCAGCATACAGTGTCTTGCTCTCACATCTCGCTCCTTCAGGCAATTTGTATTCATGAAATTACTGATGGCACCATGAGAAGATCAATATTATATGACCCTTGCTATATCAGCATACTTTGACCAATTGAAAGATTGTATCTTAATAATACATACCATAAGGCAAGTTATGGTTTTTTTGGTGCTGCGTTATGGCTATATTCATACAGAAAATAAACCACAAGGTTTTTACATATATGGTCTTGTATTCCAGGTACACAGAACCATAGAGTTGGAAGAGACCCGAAGGGTCATCTACTCCAACCCCCTGCAATGCAGAAATGTAGCCTATGAAGGTTATATACAGAGTCTCCCAAACTGTGATTTACAAGTAGTAGTAATACGCTTTCCAATTTGAGTTATGCACTACTGATTCTAGACTAACCGGAGAAATCTCTCATATAGATGCCCTGATGCCACAGAAAATATGTTGATCACATCATCCTTTTCCTGCTTCACCTCTTCTTTCTTCTGTCCGCCCGTGAAGCCCCTTAAAAAGGAAGGAGGGGGGAAAAGAGCAATGTTTATACTGCAATGTCACATAAGACAGCCAGGTTTACACTTCCACTCTATATTCTCCACCTAACCAACACTTGTTGGGACTGCAGCAGGCATTGCCTGCCTGCCTGCCTGGGATGCTTCAAAACCTAAAGACAGCCTCTTTTGAATGTGAAACATTTCATTCAAAAACAAATGCATTGGTTTCATAGAACTTTCCAATGGAAGCTCCTGCCACCAAACGTTAATCAGACTTGCTGAAAAAACAACGAACAATTCTGCAGACAGCATTACAACTCTTCTCAAATTTATTCACATTTGATTTAGCGGCAAATCAATGCCTACTCCTATGAAAGGATGGCATCAAGTCATTCTTAATCAAAAAATTAAAAGTACTCTAAATTTAGTGATACGGTATTTAATTATAACGAGACACATCAGGATTATATGTATTTTGTAGCAGCTAAAAGGATCAAGGAATCTTTCAGGTTAGCAAACTTGAAGGGCAGTGAATGAAGACAGCCATGCTCACCATTTAAGAGATTCCCAAAATCCAGATTCATTGTCATTTGTTCCATCACTTAGCAAATCTTCATTCAGCATATCCAATTTCTTCTGAACCTGTGAAGAAAGAACAGTGAATTAGCTTAAGCTTCTTACTAAAAGCTTCCTTTGAAACACCATCTGGCTAGATACATTTTGTGCTTTCCCCCCCCAATTAGAATTGTGCCACACTACCAATTAAATTGTAGACAATGACACCTTGAGGGGCAGGGAGGAATGCTTGGCTAAAAAAATCTCATAGTGAAATTCCAGCTAGCTCTTTGGCTTGAAGGAAAGGTGAAACATTCAATTCAAGTAAACTGCATCTCCTACAATATCACTTCTGGATTACCTCACATGGTGAGAAATACTAGAAGAAAAGGTGGGCGCACTTCCTCTTTAATACAGTGGTACCTCAGGTTAAGTACTTAATTCATTCCAGAGGTCCGTACTTAACGTGAAACTGTTCTTAACCTGAAGCACCACTTTAGCTAATGGGGCCTTTTGCTGCTGCCGCGCCGCCAGAGCCCGATTTCTGTTCTCATCCTGAAGCAAAGTTCTTAACCTGAAGCACTATTTCTGGGTTAGCGGAGTCTGTAACCTGAAGCGTATGTAACCTGAGGTACCACTGTTTATGTCAGGGGTGGGGAACCTGTGACCTCCAGGACTGCAGAGCCTTTCATCCCTGATCTCTGACCACGCCAGCTGAAGGGAGCTGGAAGCCATCACCTGGAGGGCCGCAGTCTCCCCATCCTTGATGTATACAAGTAAACTCAGAAATGCAGGTTTGGCCACTATATTCAAACACAAAAGGTTATTAAATATATTCTAGGACCTGCAGGTGTGTAGTTCTGTACATATAGGCCACCCTTCCGTTTGCATCTTTCCCTACCCCCTCCTGTTCATGGGGTGTGTGAAAGGTTGGTTTCCAATGACCCCTTCTCCACATCAGCATCCCATTCTGTGAGTTGGGAGAGCATTTGTAGGGCAGCTGCTCCTACCTAACAGACAAATAAGGAGCCAAATAGAGCTTCCTTTTACTCTTCTAATAAGCTGGGAAGTATAAATTCTAGTAAGAGGTGTTGCATTATGGATGATTATTCAGATGTTGTCCCATCTCCTAACTTACCCGAAACTTTAAAGGATTGCATTTCTCTGTTTTGTCCAGAAAGCCCTCTATAGGAGGGCAAACATTGTCATATTTTTTTTATAAATATGCGGTGAGTGTGTGCATTTAAACAAATGTTGCTGTAATTACTACTTTTATTGTGTCTTTTTCAAACTCACCTTCACTTTAATAATTTTGCTCTTGAAGTTGTTGATAACAACAACAACATCGCTGGCATCTGGTGGAGAATCTGTTCCATCGTGGCTAAAATTGATCAGAATAATTAAATTAGCTCAATAATCACTGTAGGAGGAGTGCTGCTTTGTTACTAGTTCTGCTAATTCTTCCCTACTTTTCATCATGGGCCTATATCAAACAATGCTTTTCCTTCACAGTACGCCTCCAAAGTATTTCAGAAAGAAATATAAACTGAAAACATGAAACACATTTCACACAATTCCTCATTTGTTAGCTTTGGGAGGTGAAGAGAACCCAGATGTGAACTCATGTAAGAGAGAGAAAAACCCTGCACAACACAACCAATGCCATGCTGAAAGACAATACTAGCCCAAATGGATTTTAACTAAAAACTAATTAATAATAATAATAATAATAATAATAATAATAATAAAATAATTTATTATTTATACCCCGCCCATCTGGCTGGGCTTCCCCAGCCACTCTGGGCGGCTTCCAAAAGAATATTAAAATACTGTGATACATCAAACATTAAAAGCTTCCCTAAACAGGAAGGAACAAACCCAAGAGTAATGCTTTTTACCACCTCACCTGTAAATTCTGTAGATATCATCAGATCTTCCCTTTCTAAGTCTCAGAAACCAGGAACCAGGATTGGCTTTCAGCTGGAAGTAGCCCTGTGAAGGGGAAAGAGAAAAGAAAAATACCCGTGATAGATAACTTGCTTAGTACTGAGCATCACATCAAGATGAGAGAGAATAAAATGCTTCCCTTAATTAGCAGTGGTTACACAGCAAACAAGCTCTGAAGAATATGATGGCCAACGCACAGTCAGAAAAGATGCTCTGTTATCTCTGCATTCAAGTTAGACCTTAGGAATTAGGCACTTCCAACACCAGAAAATTTAGGCTTGCCTCTTTCCCATATTAAAAGAATAAGTCACTTGAGTGGCCAATTGGAGCACTCAGATCTGTTTCAACAGGTTTTCCACTTTAATTCAGTGAGGAAGATAGTAACTTACTAAATTGGCCATAACAATGGTGTCGACAACCACGGGGTTTGTTGATGTTCCCAGCGTGAACTGGAGCCCTCGCGGGGGCTGCCCTGTCGTGATATCATAGCAGTGCCCTTCCAAAAGGAGGTGCTCTAACTCATACTCGGCTGCCACAACACTCTCCACCTGGGGAAAAGAAAACACATTTTTTTAAGCAGTCAAAAAACATAACAAGGTAAAAGCTGAGGCTGGTGGCAGATAAAGTCCAAGAGCACCTGGAGATCCCCAGGGCCGCCACCCTTGTCTTAAAAGTAATACAACAGAGGCAAAATGGCTTATTAATACTGTCAGAGCTGCTCTCCGATCCCAGCTCACAGAGGATCACGCTAGCCAGCGTTCGCTTTATAAAAGTCTTTATTGAGTTACAGTTTCCATTTCCAAGCTGCTGCGTGCAACTCTACGTCTTATGGCTAGACCGGCGAAGCTCCGTCTGAATCTCCGCCCCTCGTACACCAACTTAATATCCTCGCCTTACTCCACCTTTTCTGCCTGACCATCCTTCTCTGGGTCCCTCTGCCCCCCGTGGTCTCCTCCCTCCGGGACTCCTCTGACGCTGACCCCCCGGACCCTCCTGTCTCCTTGCGTCGGGCTTTAGGACCTGGCTCCCTTTCCGGGCTGCTTACTGCGCCGCCTTCCTGTGCATTTGAACTTGGCGCGCGCGCCCAGCCTTCCACTTTCCGCTTGACCGTTTCTTCGCTCCCCGATGGGGGCGTGGTCACTCCTGACTCATGCCCTCCTCCCTGCTGCGAGCTGCCAGGGCTCGATCCCTGACGTCCTTCCTCTCCACTGCGCTCTGGTGGGGACGCTGGCCCCGATTTCCAACTGCTGCCCTCTGAACCCCCGCTGGTCCCTTCCTCCTGGGGTGTCCCCCTAGGCCCCCCCTTTGCTCTGGCCACTGGCGCTCCTTTCTGTGAATCTTCCGATTCACTGGAAAGACTCGGAGATCTCGGGTCGTCGTCATCACTCATCCTTTCTTCGGACTCCTCCCCCTCGCTCTCTGTTTCCTCCCTTGCCCTCGCCTCTGCTCCTGAACCCCTGACAAATACGAACTCCCATATGCATGGTGGGGAAACCTCATGCAAGAAAATGATCTGCACTGATTTCAACTGAGCACAACTGGCTTCAGTTGCTTGTGGTTCTCGCTGCCATCAGGCAAGGCACAGTGGTCTGCCCTGAAACAAACAAACAAGCAAACAACATTTGGCAAAGGAAGGAGTGTGTTTGTGCAGTTTGCTCTCCAAATTTAGCCGCGCCAGTTAATCAGAGCAGTTTTAACCTGTGATTAAGGCTAAAGTTGGTTAAATGGTTTTGTTTGCAACCCAGCCAGATGCATGGGGTATAAATATTTTTATTTATTATAATTACTTAGTATTATAAATTCTGAAATGAACCCTCCTCTTCAGATTGGGACACACACATTGACTGGACTTACCTCCGCTAAATAAATGTTGTCAAGATCATATGGTGTCCTTACAGACTCCACCATCCAGCTCTCAGGCGTGTTTAGATTCAAAGTAAACAAGGGGGACTGGGGCATATCCAAGAATTTGGCTACTGGGCCAGGAACGAAGAGTTTCTCTGCACTGAAAGTTATTTCTGGCTCCAAAACGTAGCGATAAAAACTAAAATTTAAAAATGACAAGTATCAGAATGTTTTAATCTCAAATCCTGCAGATGTCACAGTCAATTGTCTTTATGTTATGCCTTTCAAATCTGTAACCTTGATAGCCTCTGCATGCCTAGCATTTAAGATACACGGCTTTGAAAAAGCATACTGTTGGAACCCCACAAGCAAACAACCTTCTAGGTTCTGGTGCTTGAAGATGTGCTTCAGCTTTTCCTTTTCCTAACAAAACTCAAGCCAAGCATTTTTAAAAACTATGCGCCTCTCATATTACTCATTCCTTTCCTCACCTTTCTGTGCTTCTATTAAAAACAAAACAATGACTGGGGCATAAAATAGAGAATTGGATTCCTATGTTAGTAACACCACCAAAGCAACAGAAAATAGAAGACCGAAATGAGTCAGAAGCTTCACTCTCTTTCAGCAGCCTCATGTGTCTCCTGAAATGCCATCCTGAAGGTCAGTGGACCCTCCAGATTGGCATTCCATTGTGCACAAAAAACTGCAACCTGAAGAGAAAAGTCCCTACCTCCACTGCATGAACCTAAATTACACCAGATTAATTTTCACAATTTCTGCAAATCCACTACAAAGCTGACAGAACATAGGATGGCTTTTATCACTGTAATGAAGCCTAAGATCACAAAACAAGATTTATGTGGAGGCAATATTCCTTCCAATATGGAAATCACACATCAGCTCTCTTGAAGCTCACACAGCCCACACAGTTTGAATCTACAGTTTTCTAACAGTAGCATCAAGAGGCAAACTTGCAGTATTTTTTAATAAGCAGTGTAGTTTTGCTTCCCACTTGATTACATTTTATAAATTTAGCCATTCCTCACCTTTTCAAAGGCATGTCAGAGAGTTTGGACTGGCAATTCATAAAAACTCTGAGGTTCATGTTTATTAGTTTGTTCAATACCTTAAAACAAAACAAGGGACACAGAAAGTTAAATTCACAGCTAATTGTGTACATTTCTTGCAATGCCCTACCTATCCTATATCTGCAAATTTGTCTCTTTCTACTGGCTAGCTAAAGCTGAAATGCTCAGATAACTTTCTGTGCAGCAGCTACACTAAGGTTATTTAGAAACAATTTGGGATGAAAGAGAAAGGTTAGAAGGATCGATTTTTAAAAGGAAGAGATTAGAGGGGAGAAACAGAAAATCTTCTTACATGATGAGCTGAGGTTCCCATTAAACAGGTTATATTTTATTTAAATAACCACCTTAAATGTTTTCTCCATATTGATAATAATTACTTTCCAATGTAAAACAACTTAAGTTCCGCATTTTAAACTTTACACAAAAGGCAATGTGTTTTCAAGAGTGATGAAAACAACCTTATATATCAAGATAAGGAAAGGTAATGTTTGGTATATTATGGAACATTCTTCAGCTACTGGTTATACTGCAAACTAATAATATATTCACACCATTAGTAGTGGAGCAAGTCTTTGTGCATCTCTGGTAGCAGGGTCTACAACAGCCACAACGTCAAAATACGTCTCTCCTTCCTTTGGTCTTAATTTAATTGCGCTAAAGAAAAAGAAAAAAATACAAACTGACATATGCATGTTATGTTTTAGCCCATGAGAGAAATATAAGCAAAGCCTACCCCCATTCCCACCAAGAAGTGCATAATATATTCATCAATGCCTTCTATAAACAGAGATTGAATTGTCAATGCATAGGAAGAAGCAATCAATTTCCTATTTAGTCTTACATCCCAAATGATGTATTAGCATTCTCTAATTCTAGCAAATAAAAAAACCCCAAGTTAATGTGAAGCTTTTTGAAGATTATAGAGAAAGCGAATTTACATAACCCTAATACATAAAAGTAGAATATCTATATCCATATATTTACCTGTATCGGTCCTCAAAGAAATGGTATTCAATTCTTGCCTCTCCTTTTGGCTGAGCAGACAGAAGAGCATCCACCTTCATTACAAGATCACTTGCACTACAGAGAAAAATTCCATCTGCTCAAATATTTGCTTTCCATGCTAAAATGGCCTAATCAAGTGATATTTTTAATATGGAAGCTAAAAATACACTAGATGCTTTAGCAAAAGATAAAATAGTAACTAGTTTGGATCCAGCAGTGTCATGCACAAATAGAACGAACCTGCCTTTGTACTTGCACAAGAGTACCCTATTTCTGTGAATATAACCCCCCCCAACCCACACACACCCTACAATGCTGCAAACCCCACCTGAAGGTTTCCCAGTCTTCATGTACGGCTTGGGAGGGGAAAGGCAGAAAGGCCTTGTTCTGCAAGAGGAAGTCTGTCCTCGGTTCATAGAATCCAGCCCATTATGAGAACTTACTGGAACCTAAAAACTGGTATTTTGTACTAGTACAAAAATAAAAGAATCTCCCTCATCTACTCTGTTCCTACTTATAGAAACCAAATGAACAAACCCCAATTTTCAAACGGTTTGTCATTGGCTCATTTTTACTTACAGATCTTCCTCCACTCCTAGCTCCTGAACATGAGATTTTATTTTCTGCCCAGAAGTCTTTAAAATAATATTCTCCAGCAAGTGAAAGTCATCCTGGTTAAAAAGCTCACCATCTTCCAATGGCCCAATGATCTAAAGATAAAGTGGAAAATTAGCTTGCATTAGAGCAGTAAGACAGTCAAGGAAAGTGAAGAAAACTGTGGCGGGACCATAATTACTCACCCCCTGTGATGCACACAGTAATCCAACTCATATTACTGTTCAGAATTTAACCAGTCAAATATTCGCTACTTTGAAAGTTCACATTGTCCATCGTTGCACTAGCAACTGTGTCAATTGCTTCCTACCATATGAACCTTCCCAATCAGGTCAACATCTGAGGTCTTGGCTTTCACTTCATGAAAGTGAAGTGGTCACACAAGACAGGGCCATTTTGGTGCTGCCTCAAAGGCTCTGTAATGCGCTCCTGCCAGAAGTATTTTTGTGCTTTTCTACTACTACTACTACTGCTGCTGCTGCTGCTGCTGCTGCTGCTACTGCTACTGCTACTATTATTAAATTTATTACACACCCTTCACCAGCAGGTCTGGGATGGGTTACAATAATTTAAAATTCAGTATTAAAAAGGCTTAAAACAAATTATAGTCACAGGGATAGAATGGATGCTGAAAACACACATCTCAAGTGTTGAAGGCCAAAGAGATGAGCATTTGCTGAAAGCTGTACAGCAAGGGTGACAAGACACACCTCTGTGGGGAAGGAATTCTACAACTTAGGGTTGTCACAGAGAATGCCCTCTCCCAGGCCATCTTTCGTCTTACTCCCTGCCAAATGTCTGAGGGGGCAGAGGTACCAAGAGGTATCAAGAGAGGCCACAGGAAATGAGGTGGTTTCTCACACATTTGGGGCCTAAGTCATTTAAGGTTTTAAACACTAGCATGAGCACCTCAAATTGGGCCCAGAAACTAACTGGCAGCCAGTGCAGCTGTTTTAAAACAGCAGTTACATGAGTTCTAAAAGCAACCTCGTCCAGTAATTTGGTTGCTTTATTGTGAACCTGTTGATATTTCCAAAGAGTCTTCAAGGGTAGTAGCCCAAAATAAACTGCATTCCAATCCGAACTGGAAGTTACTAGAGCATAGAGTACCATGGCCAAGTCATCTCTGTCAAGAGTGGCCATAGCCGGCAAATGGTTGTAGCTGGAAGTAGGCACTCCTAGCCCTCAAGACCACCAGGGTCTCAAGTGTCCATGTTGGATCCAGGAATATACCCAAGTTATGAACCTGCTCCTTCCAGGGAACGGCAACCCTATCCAGAACTTGAGAACTTGGAACGCATGACACTTCGGTCTTTTCAGAATTTCAAAACCTACTGGAAATGTTGCCTTTTCAGAGGGTTTGTGGGCCCAGATAATGCATTCTTATTTATTGTCTGGTTGTTGTTGTTTTTTGCAAAAGTTTTTTTTTTTAAGTACAGATATTGTCAGAAGCCCTGGGGGCTTTGATAGACTGAAAAGTATTATATAAATATCGCAAGGAAGCAAATTTTCAAAAAAAATCACACAAACTCGTATGATCAAAACCATTTCACTGTCAATCAGTTAAGAAAAACCGAATTCCAGGGAAAGCAAAATAGACTGCTTATAATTGACATTGCTGCCTTTTTTATTCTTACCGCTAAGACAAATGCAGTACATTAGAACAGCCACCAAAGTGCTCTTTGGATCCATTAGTTATGCATTCCCAGAGGACTGCTGTGGGAAAGTGTTTCATTCTGAGAAGCTGAATGCTGCTGTTAATTATTCAAGGTGGCTTTCTCACACACACACACACAAAAGGTTTGGGGCTTATCAGGATAAACAGGTGTAAACAATAAAAATCCAGGCTCCAAGATACATTACTCAAATATATGGAAAACTACAGTATTTTTTGTTCTGTAAGACTCACTTTTTCCCTCCTAAAAAGTAAGGGGAAATGTGTGTGCATCTTATGGAGTGAATGCAGGCTATGCAGCTATCCCAGAAGCCAGAACAGCAAAAGGGATTGCTGCTTTCATTGCGCAGCGATCCCTCTTGCTGTTCTGGCTTCTGAGATTCAGAATATTTTTTTTCTTGTTTTCCTCCTCCAAAAACTAGGTGCGTCTTGTGGTCTGGTGCGTCTTATAGAGCGAAAAATACAGTATGTTCATTTCCCCATAGTATGAAATCATATACTTCTATGTAATACAACATTCAACCTTTTTGGGGCCTTCCATTACAGGACTTAAAACAACATATGGGGAGTAGCTCAATGAAAGTAAAGTGAACCCAGCTATTAATACCTCCCTAAACAAAGACCTATCATGTACTGGTAATTTTCAGCTCCAACTAATTTTCCAACACATCTCAGGTCAAAAGACTGGATCCCATTATTTTTATTGACTAATATGCAAAGTTAAAATTCTCAGCTCCCTCAAGTGTGGAGAATTAGGCGGGCTAAGCATGTCAAAAATTTTCCTGGAAGTGAAACAGCTCTCTTTGTGGGGGGGGGGGGGATCCAGCTTACCCTGCCATTGCTGATCACGGCCCTCTGCCCTTTTTTCAGTTTAAGAACATCCCTGGAGTACATGGTATGTGAAAGAACAAAATCCACTTTAGGAGAGTCAAAGGCTTCCTTGAAAATATCAATATCCATACCCTGAAAGAAAAGAGACCCTGAGTAAAAGTAAGTTCAGAGACAAGACAGGAAAGCTGTAAATTAAAAAAAAAGAAATGGGTACTGCTGCTCCATTTTACTAGTGTACCACCTCACAGCAAAAGCCAGCTTGTACTTACTCCAACAGCAAATTCCGTAATATCAGCTCCAGCCTCCAGCATCTTTGCATTCTCTTCTTTGGCTAATTTTGTGATGAAGTTCTTGGCATTGTTCGATGTTTGCGTCTGTAAGGCTGCCCATATAGCCCTAGCAATGATTGTGTTGTTGCTGGTTGGGTCTTCACTGGGGTTGCTGATCACGCCAATCCGGACATGGTTACTGGATTTCTGCATAAAAACAAAATGTGCATTAGAACACAGTTTGTACAATCACCGAAGGCCAGTGTTTAAATGTAGAGGAAAGCTGATTACGACTGCTTCCTGCTTGTGCTGGGTAGAAACAAACCATCATCCCTGGGCTTAGCACTATAGTTGAACGAGGGTTTGTGCAAACAAACCACGATAAACAAAAGTTTGTTCTCAGCTTATCGTGGTTTGTTTGCTACGAGAAAACAAAGCTGAAACCCTGGCTGAAACATAATGCTAAGCCAAGGATTATGGCTTGCTCCTCTCCAGTACTCAGATCTTATGGTGCAGCAAGACATGATGGTATGAAAGAACAATTAGTTACTCTTCCTTTGAACACAGAGAGCCTAGCAATTAGTCATACCTGTCCCTCAAAGGCACAAAAAACAATTAGGTGGTGTAGCTCAGTTCCCCAGGTATACTGACAATACTGCTTCCCTTCCTTCCCTTCTTCAACAAAGGCCGCTACATACCTGGTGTTTGATAGCATCATACAAAAGCTGCCTTCCAGATGGCTTGTCAAAGTCTCCCACAATCCAGAAAGTCACTGGTCTAACAAAAGAATCATCTGTAAAAGGAACAACAACACATTCAAAAAAGAAAATTGAAGCTGATAATATCATAATGTGCATTTTCATTTCAACCTGGGCACATGCAGTGTTTCGAAAAGTCATTCAGGCAAGATACAAAAAGTTCCCAATAGTATTAGTATTTATCAAGGGTAACAGCATGTGTATATATCTCTGCTAAAATTAAGTTTCTCTTTTAAGGTACACAAAATAAGGCGCATGCATAATTCTGTTTATTATCTGGGGTTTATTTAGCTATTCATTTAAGATTTTTATTCTTTTTATCAAAGAATATTTAAGCAACTAAAGTTTTCCTGTTAGCAAATAAAAAAAATTTTTTAATGTGGACTCAAATTATATTTCTGGAAATATTTTTAAACATGCATCTATTTTTCATTCCCTACAGATTCTAAGGTCAATAACTAAGGGCTCTGAGCATGATTTAATGTATTTAAATTAGTAATGCAAAAAAGGAAAGAAATGCACTCAAGCTCATTACCATAAATTTCCTTGGAGGACATGCCTGACAGAAGTAAAACAGGAAAGAGTGGGAAAAGATATAATTAGTTTACAGAATAGACCTTGCAAGTACCCAACAGCCACAGCAGGGTATGCATGACCCTTGTAAACAGTGACTAATGTCAGAGGCAACTATGAATTAATTCATTTCCAGCAATAGGAAACTACAACATCTCTAGTATTGCTCTAATTTTCAGAAGTCATGCACCCCTTCCAAATGAAATGGATCTGTCATGCCTTCTCCTCTTCACACTGAAGCCTAGTTGATACACCTGACAAGATCCTATATGACACATGATTTTCCAAATACCCCCAGTTTCCAAAGACAGCTCTAGTCTTTAGCTGTATGTTCACAAGGAGTGAATCATGATGGCAGGTGTTAATTATCAATAACAGGGCTTATTGAGAAGGCAATTGGGCCACAACTGGCCCCCAGGCCTTAGGTTGCCTACCCCTGCTCTAGAAGGTAAGATTGCTTGCGCAGGGGCAGTTCCAAGGGGATGGTTTGACTATACACGTTTTTGCGTATACGCTCTATAACCCCTGTACAAGATGCATACTGTATACTGAAGATACTGAAGTCAAAATCTCTACCACATTTCTCACACTGATTTTATGTAGTTATCAAAAAGCATGGATGACAGAATAGAACCATATCCCATCCCAAAGGGTAACTCCCATAAGAGCTCCCCAGCACTGCCTTCTGAGAACTACCCAACAGGCTAATTGGGACTGTAAAAGTTGTGTGTCCTGCATTTCCAACCCCACCAGGAGGATAGCATGGTTGATATTAAGTCATTGAGGGGTACTAGAAAATGAACAGGCACACAGTGCCCCATGCTACCTTGCAACAAAGATAATCCACTAGTGTGACAAGAACATTTTCTGTAACAAACCAAGGCCTGAAGTCAGGTTGTCTCATTTAATCGAACCTAGAGCTAGCTGCCCAGCTACTATCTGCTCTTATCACCATACCTAGACAATACATATTAAACTTGCCCATAATTGCCAGGATCTAAAGTGCAGACTGTAAAGGTTCCAGGGAGGCTTTAGCTGTTGCCTAACTGTGGCTGTGTAAGGGGACCCAAAACCACATTTTCACCACAGGAGGAGATTAGAACCTGCCAAGTAGGACAAGGTTCTAGATTGCAGCTTGCTGGTCAGACTATTCCAAGGTTTTCACCTAGATAGTTGGAGCTCAATATCCGAAACAATTCAAAAAACCACTGTAAAATGAGGCCAAGGGCACCTCTAGTAATGAGTCTTAATGAGCGGGTTCCTTAATGATGGATAAAATGTTTAGTTTACCCCTTTTTTAAGTTGTTGGTGTTAAAAGCCTAGACAGGCAAGAAGACTTGGTCAATCATTGATAAATCTACCAAAACAAAATCCTCAAACTAAGCTTTTGTAGAATGTCTCAAGTGCCCTCCCTTAGCTGTTATGTTCAAAGTGACTTATAGAAGAGAACTAAATAAAACCACACACAAACACACACACACACACACACACTACAAAACAAACACATTAGATACTCCTACATCAAAAGCCAGAGAGGATCAAGAATGTTTTCATGTGCTGTTTAAAATCAAACAGGGAGCATGTTCTATATTTGTGGTACATCACTAGAATGAAGCAGGGAAGTCTGTTTCTTCAGAAGAATTGCTGAAGCCCACAGACACAATCCAACACTGAATTTGACATATTTATGCTTCCTCTAATTCTTCATCTCTTACTTGCAACTTCACCAGGGTTCTGAACAACAAGGAGAAATTTTTTCAGGATTTATATTAACCAGGTTGTTGAGATTGGCTTCAATCGCAGTCAATAGCAATCTCTGGTTCACATTATCTGTAGCTAAAGTTGGTGCCAACATAGGCCTTAGCAGAGAGACAGAAGAGAGAAGCTAAGGATGGGAGCATGTGATTCCCCTCTCTCTCCCAGACGCATTACCTAAGCTGTGCATGGTTTGCAAAGGCATAATAAATCAGAATAAAGCCTTGATTTGACAATTTTATATGAAAATCCAAACCAAAAAAAGCCCATAATGGCTATAAAAGCCCAAAGTAATAACTTACACATATATGCAGAATTGCAATAGCACTATATTTCATCCCATTTTTCTCCTAAGCTTATTTGCTCCTTTGGCATATATTCAGTCAACTTGTAGTCTTTTATTGTTAAGCAATAAATAAGAAATGTGGTAACGAAGTGAAGAATTAGTGATTTTAGGGTAGGTGGGTGTGTTTTAAAATGTCTTAGCAACAGCTGCAATACTATTCTAAGCCCAGCAATTACCAACTACCATTGGCTGCTACTGGGCTATTTTCAAAAGCAATTAACGCTTCCATTTTCTATAAGGAAACATAGTGCTCATATATCCATATACATTAATAAACTAAGTGAAATTAAATGGTGAAGCTCCAAGCTAACATTTCCCAATAAACAAGACTAGCACTTGACTACTGTTGGGTCTACACAGCAAATTCAAGAGAAAAGGAGACTGAAAGTCTTTGCAACCTGGTGTGCTCCAAATGTTTTAAATCAGGCATGGCCAAACCTGGCCCTCCAGATGTTTTGGGACTAAAGTTCCCACTGGTCCTGTTAGCTAGGGATGATGGGAGTTTAGTCCCAAAACATCTGGAGGGCCAAGTTTGGCCATGCCTGTTTTAAATGATAATTTCCATTAGCCCCAGCCAGCACAGAAGGCTGCTCTGTAAGGTGGTAGAAAATACGCTCTGTGAGTAATAAACTAGCATATCTGGGAGCAGGCTGAGCAAGAACCTCTCGCCCTGCTTCAAGTACAGACCAAGCCCAGCAGAGGAAATCAATTAAGACAACAGAAAATATGATGCTGCCTGGAAACTAGACAGGCCAAAGAAATGCCATACAAATACTTTTTAACATTATGAACCAATCTGTACAGTTTTCTTCTACAGTACCTGGTTCTTCAGATGTTAACACGGCAAAGCCATAATGACATGCTAAATCTATGTAGCCTTTATGAACAACCGAAGTACTTGATCAGATAGAACTGGGTATACATTTAAGGATCAATCAGAGGGCAAAGTGAGATTAAAACTAGCGCAAAGAAGGAGCAGTAACATGGCATCATTAGAAACGTTTTTAAAATGCCTTGCTATGATTCACAACGCAAAAGGAACGCTGGCCAAAAAAAGTAGCAGAAAGAGACAGGACTCCCATAATTGTACCTTTCTTGGTCATGTAGGTCATGCTGTTGGCTATAGCAGCTGTCTTGTGCTTGGAATCCATGAATGTAAATCTAGCATAATCATCCACAAAGAAATTATCTGCAAGAAAAAAATTAACTCATCAACAATCACTTTAAATCAAATTCTGTTAATTTTATTTTAAAAAGTAAATTACCCTCTTTGGTAGCAAATTCCCAATAAAATGTTCCTACAGGGCATGTTCCTAAATAATTCATCGTAGAATTTGGACAAGGACAGAGATGAGCAAAGGCTAAGAATGATAAAGCATGGGCAAGAACAGCTGCAAGGTCAAGGAACAGGGGCCAGGAGTGAGAAAGGGCAGAAAACCACCCAATAAAAGTACGGAGCCCTTGTATTTCTCCAATACAAAATGCCTGAAAACTTTCAAACTCTTAAACAACATTTGCCAGTATACCTGAAGGAGCATCTCCACCCCCATCGTTCTGCCTGGACACTGAGATCCAGCGCCGAAGGCATTCTGGCGGTTCCCTCACTGCAAGAAGCCAAGTTACAGGGAACCAGGCAGAGGGCCTTCTCAGTAGTGGCACCCACCCTGTGGAACGCCCTCCCACCAGATGTCAAAGAGAAAAACAACTATCTGACATTTAGAAGACATCTGAAGGCAGCCCAGTTCAGGGAGGTTTTTAATGACTGAGGTTTTAGTGTGTTTTTAATCTTTGTTGGAAGCCGCCCAGAGTGGCTGGGGAAACCCAGTCAAATGGGTGGGGTATAAATAAATAGTTTGTTTGTTTATTATTTAAATACAATGCTAAACTACAGCTTAGTGTTGTCTGCAGGAGGCTTCAGCTAGTGAATTCCTTCGTCTCCCCTCCTACTCTGCCACATCCATGAGGAGGAGACTGGAAACATTTATTTGCTTCTGTTTTAAGATTAGAATAATTGTATTTTTTATTTGTCTTGACCGACCACAGTCTAAACTAACTGCAGTTTGTCCAAGTTTGAACAAAACTGCACACTTAGCTTAAAATGGAAGTGGGTATTTCTGAACAGCTTGTGGTCATGCCAGAAAGAAGGGGGAGAGTAAAAACTAGTGTCCAAATCAGATCTTATTGTCCACTAACAAGTTATTGTTGTTGTTATTAAAATTTTGTGTGGATTCAACGGCAAGTGTGCCTTACTAGTTGCGGTTAAATCTAGGTACTCTCTGTCAGACATCAAGATCCGTGAGTTGATTCTTGGCACAACATTAGGCTGGTTCATGATATATTCAACCACATCTTGATCATTTGATAATTCACCCTGAAAAAGAAAGAAAAAATCAGATCTAATACCTCAAACAAACAAAAAGAATGTTTTGGAACTGGTCTGAAAATCAGAATAATACTAAGAAGTGAAATCATTTTTTAAAATTTTTGTTTTATTCCTTGTTCTCTCAGAACCTCCCCTTCAAAGAGGTCATTTAGCATCTCAATATTTTGCAAGATGTTAAATTGCTTCCTATGTGCAACCCTTTGGATTTTTACATTTCTTGGAACAGCAGATCTGTGACATAGTAGTTTCTTCTGTGGCAATGGGGGGCTGCCATCTGGGAAAGGTAAACCTACAGCCTCCTTAGAAGCACAGAACCAGCTGCACAGCTCTTTGAATCTTAGCCATCATCTTTAAGCACTAAAGAGGTCTTTGAAATCCCTGACTACAAGCAACATGGCTTACCAAATACACAGCCCTCTGGAAAAAGCTGGTGGTTTCTAGTATTTTATGCATTGTCACAGTTTCTAGTTCATCAGGATCTAGTTGTTCCTTTTGAAAGGGCATTCCGTTGAAAAGCACAATAGGTAAGGGCCCCACACCTGTCTGTTCGTAGTAGCCACGTCCTTCCTGAAATGTACAAAAGATACAAATAAGATTTTTTTCTTTCTGCCTCTACTGACTTTATCTATTGCAACATCGTCCATGTTTCCAAAATAACCTATGCAAAAGCAGATTATGGGGGGTAAATACTGCTGTTCCTGGTCCAGAAAATCCTGTTGGCACCTCTGACCACTCCAGTGAATAGTTTGGCAGAAATTTTATTCCACAAAAAGAGTTATGGGGTTTGAAAACGGATAAGCTGCACACACGAACGCCTTACCTTCCTATTGTGATCATAAGCAGAATCAACTCCTAAGATACTGTTCACTTCTACATAAGGATACTGCTTCTCAAGAACACTAACCACATGCTCCACTTTGAGTTTTTCTCCTGTATTTACTTTGTTGTATATCTGTCAAGAAAACATTGACACATGCACAGTTAAAAACATTACCTCTTCTCCTTGCACTCCAGAGGATCATCAATAAATCAGCTGTTCTCTCAATTTCGCTTTGCCTGCCCTTATGTATCAAACTCCCTCCAGGAAGACCTCAGCAGTGCCTCTTCTCTCTTTCTACTAACCCAATTTCAAAACCCACATTATCCATGAAGCATTTAGCTTAGTCTTTTTGTCCCATCATCCCCAGGCCTAAGGTAAACAAAAGTGACAAAAGTAGCAGCCTCATTTTTTGCTCACAGTGCAGTGTTTTAAAGAGCAACATAATATCGCTACAGCCCAACACTTGGTGTAGGCTAGACCTGCAAAGCTGATGTCTGCAGGAAAATAATTATAAATATCATACAGTACAGACAGATAGATGGCTGTATGCATGCATTACAAACTGCTTTGGTTATCTATTTTACAGGTTCTTACAGTGAAAAGTTTCTCATTAGTTCTCCCAATATCTTTATTTTCCCAGGATGTTTAAGTGCCCAGCAGAATGTCATGAGGGGAAGTAAATTACTGATGGTGGCATGGACGAGCCTCTAAAAAAGGCCGATCACCATTACAAACCAACTTTGTTAAGAGCAAGTTGAAGGCTAAAATCAAACTGCAGGGACAACAGGAAAGGGAAGACAGCACACGGCACACAGTGTAGGGCAGGAAGGATGGAGGAATCCACTCTTACCCACTCCCCCCCCCAAACACATACAAGCCTTGGCCAAGGGACAAGTATGACTGTGACAACAAGCTCTCAATTCCACAGGTACATCAGCAATAAGGTAGAGGGACCAGGGTGGAGACAGGAACAAGGGAAGGGCAGCATTAAAAGCCTTATTGTGGTGGCTAGGATGATTTATATTCTGCCCCCCTATCTTCCAATCCCATGCTGCCATCACTATAGTTACAGGATAAGGAGATGTGAAAATGCACAACAGTGTACCAGTCCTCACCTAGCCTTTCTATTACATTTACATCAGGAATGCACAAGAGGGAGCACATGTGACTTCGATTTTACAGCTTAACTTGGAGAACAGTGCAGTGGGAGAAAACTGGCTTTGGCAAGAAAAGTTATCCTTCCAGGAAAGAGATGGTCAATAACTCACAACAGAACCTACCCTCATATCACTGACAGCAAGTACATTACCACTTTCATAATCATTAACCCAAATATTCTGAAAAGGCAAACTGCTGCAACAAGAAGTGTCTCTTCTTGTTGCAACAGCCTCAAGGCTGACATAAACAAATACAGCTGCATTAATTCTCTCCAAAACACTCACAGATATAACCGTCTGGAAGGCAAAATTATTATCAACTTCTTGCGCAACGTAATTGTAGGCTCGAAGAAGGGCGACCCCAGCATCTTGTAAACCATCAACATCTTCAGAGTCATTAACCACAAAAACCAGTCCAATCCTATTAACAAAACAAAAGAAAACAGACTAAAAATCCAAATCAGATATTCAAAAGCACAGCATCTGCAGCGGAAATGTTTAGGTTTGTGAACACGAGTGACACTGACCACCACTAAATACTACCGATCCTTTATCAGTGGTTGAAGGGATGTAGGAATGAGCTGTCGGATTGTGCCCTTTCCCCTGCAACCCCTTCCTCTCTTGATGCACAAATTAACCAAGGTTAATGCTAACCAGGATTCAACCCTAACCAGACAATGGAACTAACATCAAGCTCTGGTTTCAAATCCTGAGATAGGAGCCAGACCTGGGTAGCATTAACCATGGCTGACATTGGTGCAGACATGCACTGAGCCATGAATCTGGCTGGTGTGAAGAAGTCATCCATGAGGAGGAGGAGGCATTGTGGTACACAGTCATATAATTGTTACATCTGCATCATTCCTCCATGTCTGTGGTATTTCACATGTGTGCAAAACTCACACCATAGGCATAAGCATGTGCCCCATATCAGATTTCCCACAGTGCCTTGGTACAAACCAGGACCTCCAGATACCTCCCGTATGTGATCAGACCCAAAAGGCTCCTCTTTCATACAGTTAGGAATAAGAGGTAGTGGAGATGCGTGGTTGCTCAAGAAAAACTCCCATCATGCCAAATATGTACTTTTCATAGGTTCGGAAAGCTGATCAGCTGTGAACATTAAAGGTAAAGGGACCCCTGACCATTAGGTCCAGTCGTGACCGACTCTGGGGTTGTGGTGCTCATCTCGCTTTACTGGCCGAGGGAGCCGGCGTACAGCTTCCACGTCATGTGGCCAGCATGACTAAGCCGCTTCTGGCAAACCAGAGCAGCGCACGGAAACACTGTTTACCTTCCCACCGGAGCGGTACCTATTTATCTAATTACACTTTGATGTGCTTTCAAACTGCTAGGTTGGCAGGAGCAGGGACCGAAAAACAGGAGCTCATCCCGTCGTGGGGATTCAAATGGCTGACCTTTTGATTGGCAAGCCCAAGAGGCTCAGTGGTTTAACCCACAGCGCCACCCACGTCCCTGTAGCTGTGAACATTACTCAGCTTCAAAAATAGAATTGTAAGTTCCACACACATAGAAACTGCAGCATTACCTCAATGGTATGTGGTTACTAAGGAACATTTCAGCCACGCTAAGCAACTCCGCGGAGCTCTCATGGGACGGGTCTACGATGAGTACCTGAAAGTCATAGCAAAGTACGGATTCAGATGCCATTACATCACTTCAGAAGGACTAGAACCATGTTTCACAATTTTAATTTTAAATATGTTTTAGATCTCTCTATGGATTCGTATTTGTATGGGGTTTTTTATATTGTAACAGATATACTAAGCTAAATATATAGGATGATCTCCATTTTAGTGGAAAACTTACCATAGAAATTAATTTAAACATTGCATACAAATAAAATCTCTGGAAATCTTAGAGTGAAGTTCATAGACCAAAATAAGATACCACTTACAAAATTATGGAAGTTTTTCCTTATTTGTCTGATTACGCCAGGGAAAGTAGGGCGCAGCAGCTCCTGGACACTGGAAGGCCATGAATTGTATCTGCTGTCAACTTCAAGATTATTGATCCACTAAAAAGAAAAGAAAGTCAAACAAGATAAATTAAAAATACTTGTTGCTTGGACGATTAGAACTTACTTAAATTTAGGGCCACTGTTTAGCAATTCAATTGCAGTGGAAGTAACTGAAATGTATGGATTCGTATGTTGAACTAAAATAAGGTTCAAGACTTGCCTCAAAGAATTTACACTTCAGTGAAGAATGTGCACAAGTGTACCAGGATATATAACATACTGTGAATGATTTTTTTTACTGATCGGTGGAAATCTCACCCCACATACTCACTGAAATAGCAGGACTTCTGATATCTACAGCATAGTCAGAGTCCGATGGCTGGATGTTCAGCTTTAACACATTGTGCATGGAAAGGCCAACAATTCCCAAACTATGCAGCCCTTCCATAACACGAGCTTCGTTCCTCAGGACATCAAACAAACTACAAAGAGCACAGATCAGAGAAAACTTTAGAACGCCACCGGCTGATAATACCGTAGCATTTTATATTGCTATACCGTAACCTAAGTTAAGAAGAATTTGAAGAGTTCATACCTAAATATGTCCTGTGTGTCTAGATCTATGTGCAGCCCATTGATGAACAGGGCAGAATCTCCAGACTGTAAACCTAAGGTTCCTTTGAAGTACTGAGGAAAAAGTGCAACAAAGACATTAACAGACATTTTAAAATACAAGACTTGAATAATACATAACTTAAGATCAAATCTTTTCAAAGATGTGCATTTAAAATGTTAACTGATTCCAGAAATGGAAATTCAGTTGGTCCTGCCTTGACAGCAAATCAGCTATCAGTATTAATCTAATGCAGCACAGACTGTGAATTATCTTATGATAAAAATAGAATGATGAGGTATTAATAGAGCGATCCAAACCCCTGATCCACCACACAGGAAGGAGTCTGGATGAGGATGTTTCCCTTTACCTGTATTCATGCTCTGCCATTAGCAGGGCTCACCCACTAATGAACTTTCAATTGAACTGGAGCAGCCAAGTACAGGTGACGACCATTTTGAACAGGGGTTCCATTCCTGGCCCCTACGCACCTCAGCGCAGCCCCCATTCTGCCCTGTTCCGTATCCAAAAGGACCCACACATTGGTGGGTGCATGCAAAATGGTTGCTGCCTGTATTCACTGGCTTCTAAGTATCTCCAAGTTAATCCAGGCCTCTCTGTTGCACCAACCTGGAGCTGGTGAACTAAAATATGTTCCTACCCATTGCAACTTGCACCCTGCTTGGCACAAGCAGAGAGACTCTATATGTTATTGTAGTACTCGTTAAGCCTTGCTGCCAACCACCAGGGGTTTGGATTGCATGCTAAATAAGGCCTGCTGACTGCCCATTCTTTGATGATGGGGAGCAATTACAAGCTGTGCTCCCATTTCAATTACTGCTCTTCTTTATAGCATCCAAAGTTCTATGTAGGCATGGGGAAGTAAAATGGATCAACTACTTACTTGTCCTCAAGCAATCTGCCTACACACTTGACCGAGAAATAAATTTAACAAAGTGGTTTTATCATACTCTAGAATCACGTTAGCTATTTTAAGGAATATTGAGGTGCTTATGATATATGGCTGATATATGATATGGGGGTGGCAGCTTACTAGCTGAAAGTATAACAGAGACGGATGTAAAAGGGATAAAGTTAGTGCACCATAAGCAAAATATAAAGGCCACTATCAGTGGCCATCATTTGCATTCAAGCCCAGATGAAATCAAAATGGGCACACAAAGCTGTCTGAGGTCACCTCTGGGGGCTAAATCAAGCAAAGAAAAATAATCTTACCAAAGTTACTTCTCTCACTTCAACCAACCTACCCTCAAGACTGAGATTCATATATAATAATAAGCATTTTTTGATGCCATGTAAATTGCAAAGTTCATTCCTCATTGTAGATTTAGAGCAATCTAGGTTGCAATCCTATACCCACTTATTTAGTGGGGCTTACTTTTAGGTAAACATGTCTGGGATTGCACTGTTAAAACCTGTTATGCTGAACTGTTAAGTGGTATTTGTATTCTGATATCTGTACAACATTCTGCCCCACTGTTTCTTTTCTAATTGTTGTGACAACCCAGTTCCTCTGAGGTAATTCTTTTCTAGAATGGGACTCTTCAGGGAGCTTGTTAAGACAGCATTCCTGATATTTTGCACATTCACCCTGACATTTCTTACAGTAAATAGATATGCAGATAGATACATTATTCCCTTAAAGAGAAAGTTAAACAGATATTATGTAGCAGATTCAATTATGCTGTGATTTCAGTCTTAAACAGAGATAAAGAAGTCAATTGAGGGGATTGTACTGCTCCTGCTGTGCCAGTTGTTAAAGTTTCTATTTGTTTAATTCCCAGAACACATCACAGAAGCCACTAAGTTTCAAGTTTGACACGCACTGGGACTTATTCAAAAGCAAGGCAAAACCCAAAAGGCCAAGTTTTCCTTGACTAACTGCTTGGGACTATTCCCTGGGAAATATCCAGATAAAACCAGTTAGGAGCCACTTGGCTCATAGTTTCTGAGCTTGTAGAATATAAACCTTGCACAGAACAGTGTTAGGGTTCACTGGAACAAACTCCCTCAGAAGGTAGTGGAGTCTTCTTCACGGAAGGTTTTTAAGTAGAGGTTGGATGGCCTTCTGTCCTAGATGCTTTAGATGAGATTCCTGCATTCAGGGGGTTAGACTAGATGGCCCTCGGTGCCCCTTCCAACTCTACAATTCTATGGTTCTATGATATGATAAATAACCTTTCCTCCAAATTCTGCCCTAAGCTGTAGCTACTACAGTACAACCAGAAACCAACAAAACATTCTGGACATTCTGGAAGAAGAACAGCACTTCAAAGTATTTAGAGCTCGATAAAATGTACTTTTTAAATACAGAGAGGCAGTGTGGCTTAATGGCTAGTGTCAGCCCAGGAGACCTAGGTTCAAATCCCTATTTTGCCAAGAGGCTCCAATACAATAAAGCTCCATACAATTACCTTTTGGTTCTCTTCAATTTCTGATCTGAGTTCTGAAGAAACAACTGTTTTTGTTATTGCCCTACAGAAACCAAAAGAGTCACAAGTTATCATTAATTGCCTGTCCTACCTCTTCTTTTGTTTTTATATCTGTTCCACTCCAACATGTCCCACTAGGGCATACAATTGTTACAAGTAAACAGATACTGGAATTCATACAGTATAGAAAACATTGCAACTGCAAGGACAACAATTCATCTATTTCATTTAAGCTCTCTAGTGCAATCAATGGGGGGGGGGGAACTCCACATACTAAACCCTACAAAGTTTGACATCTTCAAAATTTGTGCCAAAAATGGTTGCACAAGAATTAAGTGCTTTCAGCTTTTAAATCCAAAAGGACACATACCAGGAGGAAGTTATTATCCCTTAAAAGAGATTGGTAATCTGAGCCAACTATGAACTTAACAGCTCTTATTTAATAGAAAACACTAATATGCACTTAAGATTACAAATGCTGTAGTACTGATGATGCAGAAATACTGACTTTTCAGGTATAGCCTGCCCCCCCTCACTGAAGATATGATCAGTGCAGGTTGTTGTCGGCTGTATAGCTGCCCGGTTATGTCTTTCCTGCCCCAGTTCCTCGCAAACCGATTATGAATGGTTTTCTTATTCCTGGCTGAACGCAGGCATTTTCTCCACCTCCAGCGCCTTTCTGTATATGTGAATCCTTTCTGCTGCCAAATTGTCTCTACTTTATCAGAGAAAAACCTTGCATTTTCATTGAACTTCCAAGGTGGCCATATTTAATATTTTCAAATATGCAAGGGGTATTTCACCACCAATTCATACCAAAGTTTTCAAGGTATTAAGAGCAAAATTATAGCAGATATGTTGAAAAGCAAGTCTTCCCTTTTAAAATGATCTAATTCCACAATTGCTCGTTGCCAAACTATCAGTTAGCTGGTGGAAGCTGGATGGACCACACTGGGGCAACCACTTCCCCACAAGTAAGGGGGCCAAAGTAGTTTGTTTCCGTTTCAACCACCAGGATCCCCAATCTACTCTGAGATCTTTGATCACTTTCACCAAAGTAAACAGTACAATAATCTACATTTGCTTAGCAGCAGTAGCAGCAGTTACCTAGCCTTTGTGGGAAAATTCTGACTTAGATCTTTCATGACCATCAAAGCATCCACCGTAGGAGCAGCCAGAATACGGGCAGCAGTTTGGAAGCTCAGATCTAAAATTGAAAATAGTTCAATCATAAGGCAGTCCTTCAAACCTGGAACCTTGTAAAGCTTAACTCTGCTAGGTGCCAAGATCAGCCTAATCTCTTGAAGCTCTTAAACACCCAATTATTCCTCTCACGCACTTTGATGAAACTGCTCACATGGCTGAAGCGGAGTTCATGTGTAAGGGCATCCCTGGATCAAGCCAGCGCATCCACCAGTGTTCTGTTCTTAGCACAATTCATACAACTGAATATAATGCCGAGAAACATTCACCAGTTGGAAGTGAACCAGAAGGATTTGGGAATTTTACTGCGCAGGTTTACTCAGAAGAAAATGCCACTGCCTCCAATGGGGCTTACTCCCAAGTGGGTTCAAGGACTGCAGTCTTTTGTCACCTTGAGTTATCTATAATGCAACTATGAGCCGTAACTATAATGCAGCTGCGAAGAATGCAGCTGGCAAAAAAGAGGCGGCACAAAAATAAGAAGAACGCAAAAGGAGGAACTTGTTTGCTTAATGCCAACTAACAGAGCAATCTAAAGCCCTGGCAGGCAGTGGCAGGGTTGTGTTGTCACCACCTTGGCAGCCTTCTTGCTCCTGCTGGCCACAGCAGAAGATGCAGGCAAATCACTGTGGCAGCCTGGAGCTGGTGCAATGATTCGGCTCGAAGACATCACAAGGCAGCAGTGGGGTCTGCTTGGGATCCAGCAGTGACAGTCATGGGGCTTCCCTAGAACACCCCATTTAGGGGTTTTCCATGAGCTACCACCAGGTGGAATGAGGAGCTGGGAGTTGATGCTGGCATCACTCTGTGGGTAGAGGGGCACCTTCATCAAAGTCCATCCCAGCCAGGCACAATGGGATTTTGGATTGAAGACATAGAAGATGAACTCCAGGTGAATGCTGTTAGGAGCAAAGTTTTCTTCTTCAAAGTATGCAGAAGAGCTGAAGCAGTTTGCAGAAATATTGTACCTATCTGGCACCATGAGGAAACTACTCCAGCTATTCTATGTAATTCAAAAGTTTAAGATGGTTGCTGAAGGAACCTGTGCTTTGAAATATGTTGACGTGTAAAAAATGCAACAGCATTCAATTTGATGCTTTACACAAAGGGAAAATGCCTTGGGGTGGTGCTGATGGAAAGTGTCTTCGTGCTTGTATCTGTTCCAGGAACAGTTGCATTTATGGATGCTTCTGCTGACACAGGAGCACTTCGTAACGAAGGCATAATAAATTTATTTTAGTGTGTGTATATAAGGACTTAAGTGCAGCATAAGAGCTCCTAGGAAGTTGAAGTTCACATTTCAGATTTGCAGGAGAGGGGTCTAATATGGATACTTACCTTGTAATTGCCACACTTTTAAGGGCGCCATTTCATTGGTGCTTTCAACAAGATGTTTCCTTAGTTCTTTCAGTTCTTCTTTCAAACTGGGGTGCAACTGCCTGGAATAAAAAATGAATTAAGGAAACCTATATTATTAAAGGTAAGGGTACCCCTGACCATTAGCGGACGACTCTGGGGTTGCGCGCTCATCTCGCTCTATAGCCCGAGGGAGCCGGCGTTTGTCTGCAGACAGCTTCCAGGTCATGACTAAGCCGCTTCTGGCGAACCAGAGCAGCACATGGAAACGCTGTTTACCTTCCAGCACAACTGCCCTTAATAGATGTGGATTTGGGTCCCTTTTCTTAATATTTTGTAGGCTTTAGTCGGAAAATGCAGCTAAAAGTAACAGAGGAAGCTGCTGTATACAGTTTAATAGGCCCACCTAACTCAAGACTGCCAACACTGACTGGCAGCAGCTCTCCAGGGTTTCAGGTAGAAGTCCTTCCCATCCTCACCTGCTGATGCCGGGACCAAACCTGGGACCTTTCGCAAGCAAAACATGTGCACTTTTACCGAGCCCCCTCCCTGCAATCTTCTTTATGTATTTCCTTGCAAGTTGGTTTCTGGAATGCCTTAGGTAGAAAAGCCAAGGAAAATGAACATGTTTGTCAAGAGCATGACGTACCTCAGTTTTCCAAATAGAAATCCCTGCACTTCATCAATTGGGTCATTTTCACCTATTACTGTTGCATTCACATCTGCACCTATAAAAACATGAAAAAACTCCTGATTATGATACCATTTAGGAAACGATCAGTCATAAAGAGTCTGACACGCTTTGCAAGCCTTCAGCACACAGTATTAGCACTGCAGACAGCCGTAACAGCAAGCACATCTTGTTTCTAAGATAAGTAGACAATTGCTGCTACTTCTTACATCAGGCACCAAAGTGTAATGGGGTCATTCCCTGGTGAGGGGGGAACAGTGACATTCCTTGCCACTCATTCCCTGAGGGTTTTATAATGCTACTTCTGTCAACCAGTGAATACTCTAGTGTTGCTCTCCACTGCTACTGTGAAGAGTCTCAGAGTGAGACTCTCCTCACTCTGGCTCCAGAGGAAGCAAACATCAAACACTTTTTTCTAAAGAAGTGGCTTGTTGCACAAAAAAGGACAGAACGATGACGACACTCCTCATTCTGCCTCTGCATGTTTTTCTGCATGTTTTTACTTAGTAGCCAACACCATGCTAGTAGCATTTGAAGCCAGCAAACTGGTGGAAGGGAGGGGTTAACACAAAGTAGGATATACAAAACACAGATAAAAATTACAATGGCTTTTCCTTCATATAGAAAATGTGCTACTTTTCATGCACCACAGCTTATTATCATAAAAAAGGATCTGCGGGAGGAAATTAAACGTGTGTAAGAGGTTAGGCAGCCTTGCAAGGAAAGCAGAAGATGATGAAGGAAGTGTGAGGCAAGACCCTGGAACTAGGTCCTGAGGGGAAACTGGGCACACAGATTGCTAACAGCCAGGGAGAGAGCAAGTCCAGACAAGCTTCCCACTCCAGCTTGAACTGGTAGCCTACACAATCCTGCCACGTCAAGGGAAGCTAATGGGTTGCCTGGGCAAGTTGCCTCATCCTAAAGTACATCAACATATGCATGAACCTTCCAATCCTTAAGAGTATCAATCCAAAGGTTGCCTAGTCTAGCTTCAGCAGCTCCTGTCAAAGTGCAATCAATTCCAGAGTGATTGCTACTCAGTGGGTTTTCATTTATTGTTATTTAGCTTGTTACAAGCCATTTTGAGCAGAATTTCCTTGTGGAAAGGTTGTATATAAATAAATACGAATGATTTCGATTACTGCAGCGTATTGCTAATATACCCTGAAAAAGTGATTCAATTCCAAATAGAATAACAGCGAGAGCATATGAAGAGAATTTTAAAAACAACTTTGGAACATATTCCAGTTCATGGTGGAACCATCACTGCTCTCAAGGTAGGAATTCACCTTTCACCTGGGTATCATCCTTGGCCTTATATTCTGTGCTTTTAATGGCCAGCTCCACACCATAGCCTGACAGGTAGACTCTTTCTTTACTTGGATTCTACAAGAGAGAAAGGAGTAAAAGCAAGGTAACATGGGCACAACAAGACATTTGCTAGGTTTAGCTCTCCCAACTTTGCCAAACCATAATCACAGGCAGTTGGACCATCCTGATTTAAACTTGGAACAAGTGCCCAGCTGTGTTGCAGCTCAGCTATAAACACCCACCCACCCTTCTCTGTGATAAGAAAGTTGCAGCCCAATTCAGAACTCCAACTGGTAGGAGGATGAAAAATGTAGCTTCCATCTAAGAAGCTCTTGTAGTGATTCCTGCTGTCTTGGCAATCCTTCTCATGCTGGTATTTACATATCTGGAACCTCAAATTTCATTGCACATTGCCACAAAAGTTATAAGGGGCAGTAGGACTATAAAAAGAATTGTAACCAGAAATATCCTGAATCTATTACCTCTTCAAATTGAGACCTAACAGTTTCTAGATCTTTAAAACAGTGAGTCTAGATTCAGCTTCACAGTTGTCTTGTACGAATAGATGAATAAATCTTTCAATATAATCAGAAAAGATAACCCCTCTTTCAAAACACAAAAATGTTGCAATATTGAAAGCAATCAAAAACTGGCAATATGGTTTATATAAAAGCACACACGATTTTAGAACTCAATGCAAAATATTCTTGAAGTGGCACCTAAATAACTAATATTGCTCCTGAAAAATACTGGAAATCATGTGGACTTTCCTAAAATTGTTTTAGTACTTACAGCGATGTAATGCCTAAGAATGTAGGTGATTTCTCCAGCATTGACTTTTGATACAAGTAGTCTGTGAAATCTAGACATCTCCTCAGAGCCAATCTCGGCATACAAGATTACCACAGGACTTTCGGGGTCTGAGACTGGATATTTGTGGTCACCTTTGAATATAAAAGGCTTTGGCCTGGAACAAGACGAACACCCCAATATAAATACTGTATTTAAACAAGATTAGATAATGCTTATGACTACAATGAACATATAGAAGAGACATAAATAGGTAACTATGACAGTCCTTATTCTAATGCTTGAATCATTAAATGTGATTCATGAAGAATTAAAATAAGATTTCCATATGGAAATCCCAGCACTTTATTGCTCTGCTTCTCACGATTGTGGAACTGAATGAATTCCTAAAATGGTGTAACTTATAAAGCCATTGCAAATGGAACTGAACGGTATGTGTTTTATAATTGTAATGGTTTTATCTATTTGTATCTTTGTTGTAATCTATTGTTGTAACCCACCCCAGAATCTTATGATTGCAACCCACTCTGGGACCTTATGTCCAAAGTAGCAACATGTTAAGATTCTAATCAATCATTTAATCAGAATATTTATAAATCCCCAACTCATAAAAAATAGCAAAGCAGTGTACAATAAAATTATTTAAACATTGTGAAACTATGAAATCATAGAATTATGTAATACAGAACAAATGACCAACACTGAATCAGATTGCCCTATTTTAACAAAATAAGCAGCAGCATAGTTGATGCCTTGGTACAAAATAAAACTACCTTTCTGAAGCTGTTTGTAGAAGCATTTTGAGTTTGTCAGATTCACAAGTCTTCTCTCCATGCACAACAAAAAATGCATTACATCCCTCTGGTGGGGGCTCATCAGCTGCTATCTGTATTAAAATGGATCTATTATAGTAAGATGTCAACCTTTTTCAGAGTGGGGGGGAAATTGCATCATGGTCATAGTAACAGGCTCACAAGATACTCTGCTTCTAATAGATTCATCTGTGCATTGTCATTTTTGATCCATATGAACGAACAGTAGAGCACTGAATCACATCAAAAAAACTGGCCACGACTTGTGGAATGGGGGCATTTGCACAGCTTTTCTGCTTCCAGCCCAGATGGATACCAGCGAGGAGGGTAGAATAAACTTCTTAGATTCTTTCAAAGACAAATACCACACAAAATAAAGATCACTCCATTTTATAATCAATCAAGAAAGGTCTCCTGTCTTGGAGCTAAATGAGAGAAAGAGGGATAATCTTACAGCAACTTTATTTGTTCCCTTCCCTCCCCCCCCATCTCTCTCCCCTCTTTTATTTCTCTCAGTCTTGTGTTGTGTTTATTATTAATGCTGGGTGAGCAGCTATTGAGGAATGGTAGGCGAACAAGATGGTGGGCAGGATACTGAAGCAGTTTCCTTTGCAATTGCAAAATGAGAAGCCGTTCCTTTTAAATTTAAGTTTTTGGGGTTTTTTAAAAGGAACGTAAATATCCATGTGGTAACTTTTGCAGCACTGGTACCATGCCCAATACTTCTCTGGGCAGTGGTCAGGAAAGAGGTGGAAGATTGTCAATGCCTAGACACTACACCTAACCTTGGTGTCTAGGCTGGCAAGCAATCAGGGAAGGGGATATTATCTGTCAACTCAATAAGGTCCATCAACATATTACCACTCCCAATATACACAGTATAGTCAGTCATTGTCAAAAAATTAGTCATTGTAATATGGTCAAGCACAAGGCTTAGGTTGCTAGTTCAGGGAGAGGAGACACCCAGTGTTTCCTGTATGAAAACATGAGAATCAGAAATGTTCCAAAAGCTATATACTAACCTGCTGGAAGGCTTGAACTGTAGCTGAATAAGAGCGCAAAGACAAGGCAAATTTCAACAAGTTCTGTTGCAAAGGTGAAAGATTCTGGGAAGCTGCTTGCAGCATTGCATAGTAAGAGGAATAATCAGTACCTGCCAACCCACAAAGTAAACTATTTAGTTTTTAAGGCAAGTGCAGAGGGATTTTAAAAATCAGCTATATTTGTCGTGGTTCATACTACAGTATAAAAAAAAGGTAAAGGTACCCCTGCCCATACGGGCCACTCTTGACAGACTCTAGGGTTGTGCGCCCATCTCACTCTATAGGCCGGGGGCCAGCGCTGTCCACAGACACTTCCGGGGCACGTGGCCAGCGTGACAAGCTGCATCTGGCGAGCCAGCGCAGCACACGGAACGCCGTTTACCTTCCCGCTAGTAAGCGGTCCCTATTTATCTACTTGCACCCGGGGGTGCTTTCGAACTGCTAGGTTGGCAGGCGCTGGGACCGAGCAACGGGAGCGCAGCCCGCCGCGGGGATTTGAACCGCCGACCTTTCGATCGGCAAGTCCTAGGCGCTGAGGCTTTAACCCACAGTGCCACCCGCGTCCCCTATACCCGCGTCCCCAGTTATACTACAGTATAACTGTATGCAAAAAGTGACACAATTTTAAACAAGGAATCCGCATCCTGTGCAGTCATATCAAGTTGGTAATATATGACTACAAGTTGGTAAACACTGTGATCCTAGGCTACCTCCATATAATACTGCATGCAGAAAATCTATTTCTTTCTCTTTCTGAACTTGATTATTCATAGTCATTAGCCACTACTACAATTGCTAAGCACATGATTGCTTTTAAGATATACTTGGAATTCATGTCTATTATAGATATAACTGCTGGAATGTGTCTGATCCGTTTAATGAGATATCCTCAATAGTAAGCAGTTCTATCATATTACGACATAATTCTATTACAACAAAATATTACATATCTTTATTAATATTAACGATGTCTTAGTTACTTTAGCTTGTTAACCTTCCAAAGACATATCAATTATAAATTACAGTCATTAGGCTCTAAAGAGGTGGTGAACCATCTCCCCATCCCTGCAGGCACCACATTCCCTCATAGACAGTGACTGGGGCCAAAGCATACATACACAAAGCTCTCTCTCCCCGCCCCCGCCACACCCGCATGGCATTCACACCTCTCTCACGTACATATCCAGCTTGCTTGACTTCCATGCTACACAATGCTCCTTCTTACTGCAGAGCACTGAAATGATAGCCAATCAGAATGGCAAGGCACAGAACTGTCACTGCTTCCACCAGTCTGATTGGCTTCTTACTAGCTATTTAAAAGTGTTTTGTCCACAGTTCAAGTTCTGGAGCACATGTAGAGGGGGAAATGGAATGGGCAATTAGCATGTCGGAAGGAAAGAGTGTATGATCCTATACCTAGTTTTTCATCCCTTAAGAGTAGGCTTGTATAACTTGTGACTCAGCAAGATGAACGTTGTCCACTATGTATTGTGGCATGTCAAAATAAATCTGCTTTTGAAGACCAAACTAGGCAGCAACACAGATAAAGGCTCCGAGAGTGGGGAAATGCAGCTAGCAGGTTTATTTGGCTTGATCAGTCACTACGTTCTACAGATCTGCCTTAAATGGCCAATTTATATCTGCATAAGCTTTGACTGGTTAACATTTCCTATTAAAGTGTGAAGCATAAATGAAAATCTTTACTATTTTTATATTTAGCATTATTCTACAAATGAAAAGAGAAAAACAAGTGACAGTCGTACCTCGACTCCTGAACGCCTTGGGAGTCGAACGTTCCGGCTCCCAAATGATCAAAAACCGGAAGTGAGTGTTCTGGTTTTCGAGCGTTCTTTTGGAACCGAACGTCCGATGGGGCTTCCATGACTTCTGATTGGCTGCAGGAGCTTCCTGCAGCCAATCAGAAGCCGTGCTTTGAAAGTCGAATGTTTCGGAAGTCGAATGGACTTCCGGAACGGATTCTGTTCAACGTCCGAGGTACAACTGTATTAAGTGTTTGTCATTTATACCAATGAGCCTTTACAAAGAATTCAGCACAGCGTACCCTATCTGATTACAAAGCAACCAAGGAATGCAATAATTACCATCATGATTAGATGATCCAAAGTCCTGACAGGTTTCAACAAAGCTCCAAAATTTCTCTTGACCTTCTTCTGCTAAAAATTCACTGAAGAAAGGAGGGGAGAGGAATCATTACATTATGTTAAGTTTTATTTGTTTTGGGGTTTATTTAAAACCCCAATGACACTGCATTTCACAAGTCCGGATTCAAATTCCATTAAGTAATTAATTTACTGGGTATTTTTAAGGCAAGCCACTATCTAAGCCTCCCTCATTTGTAACATAGGGACACAAATTATATGGGAGATTACATATGTAAACTGCTTTTTTTAAAAACCCATTGAGTTAGCCATCTTGCTTACCTTGCTTCAAGTAATAAAGGTGTGGAAAACCACTTAGTAGTCAAAGAAGTCGTCACTGCTTTTGAATCTGCTTTTACCAGGGAGAAGCTCACCCATATTCCAATAAGTGCAATTAGAGTTCCCATCTTATAAAAGAACCTGGAAACAAATGAAGACATTTAACTTAAGCATTGTATTTCAGTAGAAATAGTAAAGCAAGTGTATGCTTCTGTAAATCAGGTGTGCAATCAGTTATAAGGTATATATCTTGACACAAGCCATCTTGCTGAAGCTAAGCAGCACCTGGTTGGGTAACCACCTGAGAATAAAATGTGTGCCACCTTGGGTTCCATGATGGAAGAAAGGCAGCATATAAGAAAATAAATGAACAAAATCTGGGAAAATAAAGAGGCAATTCTAGGACTGATTCAGAGGTAATGGGCTGATTCACATGTATTGGGGAAACACGTGTTGAAATTCCTACACTGCAGAGGGTTGGATGACTCTCGGGGTCCCTTCCAACTATACAATTCTATGAGTCTATCATGAGCTAGTGAATAAGCAGGTATTCCAGTCCCGTTTCTTCTTTTCCCCTCCTGATTCCATTTACCCCTTCTGTATCATGTCTTATTAGATTCTAAGTCTATTTACAGGGACTGTCTTCTCTTTTAATACATGCACAGCACTTAGAAAATGCAGGCACTTTGCAAGTGAATAATAATAATTTTATATTGCAGGAAGCGCAATATTAAAGCACATATAAAAGCCTCATGGCAATTCTATCATCTATGAAGTTGGCCTGAGAGAGTAGAGAAACGGAGGTCTCAGAAAAATGAATCCTTCCCAAAAACGTAGTAAATTTGTCTCACTTGTACTTCATATTGTAAAGGTAAGAAGTGGCACTGCAGAAATTACATAAGAAGCTGCTGAGTCAGACGCTAGTTCATCTAGGTCATTATCATCCAACTTACTATCTCCAAAATCCTCAGCAGGAACGTGTCATTCTCAGCCCTGCTACCTAATAAGTATTTTTTAAAAAAACTAGTGCTTCCCCCTTGATCCAATGCATCCTACTGTGCATTCACGGTCTAGTCTTAGCACCACTGTGGGACTCCACGACGCAGGCATGTCCAGATATGGCAAATGATGATACTTCTGACCATGCCAATTGCGATCACAAATCCCATTGTGCAGGTAAGATTTCAGAAAGGCGATCCTGTCCCTCTGCTGCAACAACACCGAATCTAAGAGCCCTGGGGCTAACCCCCTCGTTTGTTAGATCTTCCTTTTCGTACACAATTTTAGCCAAAAAATACTTGTCTGTATGGATCCAAAGGAGCTCTGCGAATAAACATCCAACTGCCAGCCTTCTGTCCTTCGGTTCGAGATATCCGAATCCTTGACAACGCAACAAAGTTGCCGGAATTCGGGCTGCAATCCTAACCCTGGGGGTGAAACCCACAGGATTCAATAGCACCTGAGCATCAGAGCCGACTCCGTCAGGACTGCAGCCTTAAAATCGCGCGGCTGTGTTGCAAGGCTGGAAACACGAGCTTGCTCTGGTTAACCACCCCGAATTCTCCGCGCCCCAGTCCCTTAGACCCCCCGCTTTCCCTGCTCCTATGGACTCCGCCTCCTCCGATCTCGCCCCAGGAGAGCCCGAAAAAGGAGAAGCGGCGGCGGCGGCGTCTTCAGAGGCGGGTGTCCGGGAACCCAGGCACCCACTCACCGTCCAGTGCTGGGGAACCGCACGAGGCGAGGGTGCCGGTGCCGCGACTTAGCCAGAGGGCGCCTCCCGCTCCTGCCGGGGCTCTCGCGCCGTGCGGATTATTATTGCGCCTGTAAGCTACCGCCACGCTCCTTTCCTGCTTCAGCCGCCGCGGCTCCTTCGGTTTCCTGACAGCTCGCTTCCGGTTCCGGCCCCTCGCCGGCTACCAGGAAGAGCTGCGGCGAAGCGGCTCTTTGCCCTACGGAGGGAACCAGTCTGGGAGCAGCCCTTGACGCTCGCGGCGCCATTTCGGCTATGGGCAAACAAAGTCCCGCTCAAGGCGACGCTCCAGTCGCCCAGTAGGGGCGCTGTTCCCATCACGAAGCGGAACACAAACTGCAAGCAGGCGGGCACGCAACCGACGGTACCGTGAAGCTGCACCCTACCCTTCCCGCTTTATTGTCTGCAGACATAATAGCATCTTCCGCTTCCACCTCGCCACTGAATTATTATTATTACTGTATTAGTATTATTTCCCCACTCTACACACAAATACGCACACGCACAAAGAGCTAAAGGCTATTTTGCCGAGCAGTCCGCTGCAAGAGACTTGTGGCTTTTTCGTTTCAGGGTAACTCGACTTGCGTTAGATAGTACTGTACAGGCTCCAGCCCTAGCAAGATCCTCTTTAGGACCAGGCAGGAAGTCTTCCTCCCGAGCCCTTGCCAGGCTCCAGTGCCGCTCTGCACTTTCATAGTTCTGCATCATAGAGGAGGCACCTGCTCTCCAAAGATGGTTGAGAGGACAAGCCCCCAACGTCCTCGTGCCTGGGCTCCAGCTGTTATAGGAGTCTTGAGTCCAACAGCATCTGGAGAGCCTCACGTTTCCTTCTCAGCCTTGTTCTGTGTTCCTAGTAGCAGCAACATTGTTTCCTAAGCCCAGTTTAAAAACCTGCAAAACTTGAGAGTCCTTTAATACCAATGAGATAAATCACTTCAGTTGGGACCTTCTGCCCAACTGCACCCTTTTCCAGGATACTTGATTCCATCTCCTATCCTTCCCCAGCTGTGGAAACGTAATCTGGTCTAAACCAATCCAAGCCTCACCTATCAAAGCCAGTCCCAGTGGCAGAGCCCTCAGCAAGATTTATTCAGTGGGACTACCAACTTCTTTGAACTAATTTTTTGACAGGACACCATCTGTAGTAGTGTCTCCTCTTCGTCCCTTTGCTGCCCCAACTTCCTGCTATATCCAACCCTTGCTTATACAGGCTGAATCCTTTAAAAGAGGCCCCGTGGATACAGAGTACACATGTTCCATGGGGCCTCTTTTAAAGACTCACCCTGTATCATAGGTTTATGATATTGCGAGCCCTCTTGAACGGGATATGCCCCCAAAAGGCAGCCAATTACCCACCCAAGTGGGGAAGTAAGTGAGTGGCAATGATAGCAAGGAACACTGGAAGTTGGAATCGGTGGTTATTTATTCATAATTTTTCTCAGGACTTTTTTCAGGGGAAACTTACTGGAACTCAGTTCCAGCACCTCTCAGGCGGGCACCATTGCCATTGTAAGAGAATGAGGGAGGTATTCATGGTGAGTTCCAGCACCTATTTTTCTAGAAAAATGACACTGTGTTTTCTTTAACACTTTCATTCCCTTATTCAGGTACAAAGACTCCCACAGTGCCTTACAGATCAATAAAAAAAAAAACCTCCACAAGACAATTCCTGCCTTACTGTTTAAAATGCATGTTGCCAAAGAAGAAAAAACAAATAAATTCAAGCACCATTTCGTAAGTTACAAAAGTCATAAGGCTGTTCAAACTGAAACCAAAAGGAGCTAGTCTCTCAGAAGATCCAATGGAGCTGACCTGCTTCCCATTGCTCATTTTGCTGCAACCTGATAGAATGCCTATTGATAGGTGACCAAAAATGAAAAACCTTGTAGATCATATAATATGATATGCAGTGTGGACTGTTGGTCATTTAGCCATCAAATCTGGATAGCCAATTATTATTATTATTATTTTATTATTTATTTTCTTTATATACTGTGCTATACCCGGATGTCTCAGGTGGTTCACATATCAATATCTAATAGTACCCATTGTCATTCTAATATTGCTTGCCAATATTCATTCACCAGCATTGCCCACATCACCACCTCCCCTTCTCTGAACTTGAACATCCATATATATTCAACAGCTTTCCACCATCTGAGACTCCCCACCAGCTCCATATCTAAAATCTTCTCACGTGCAACACCACCTATCCCTCCCAATCCTGCCAGCCAGTGTTGCTTCACACAAGTCTCCTTTTTTCATAAAGGAATGGCCACCTCCACCACCCCATTTCACATTCTTCCCCATCAGCAGAAGTGTTGGCAGATCATGTACTCTCCTCCCTCCTTAAAACTGCTGGTGGTGGTTTAAAATAAGGATGTGGATGCTAAGGCATGCAGTCCATCTTGGCTGTGAATCCTGAATGGTCCTTTGCCTACTCCTGCACAGATTCTTGGGCTGGAGTGTTTGGAGTTTGTTTTTGTTGCAGGGGGTTGTTGCTGTTGCTTTTTTGTATCTTTATTTTAGATATTGTGATTTATGTGGAAATTGTTCAGTTTGTGCATTTTCTAATGATTTGTTGATTATGACTACTTTTGTTATGTTGTAGTTATGTATTTTTCACGTTGTGAGCCACCTTGAGCATGGCTCAAACTGCAGAAAGGCAGCATACAAAGAAAATTATGTAAAGGTAAAAAGGTAAATGACCCCTGGACAGTTAAGTCTAGTGGAAGGCAACTATGGGGTGCGGTGCTCATCTCACTTCAGGCCGAGGGAGCCGGAAGTTTGTCCACAGACAGCTTTCCGGGTCATGACGCCAGCATGACAAAACCGCTTCTGGCGCAACAGAACTTTCCTGCCCTAAGGAACCATTTACTGGGCTGAAGTTGGTTCAGTATTTATTACGTTCCTCCAAGGAGCGCAAAGTGGTGTACATCTCCCCGATTTATTCCTACAGCAACTTTGTGAGGTAGAATATGGAAATTAGTTTATGGGGCTTCACCATTGAGCAGGGATCTGAACCTGCCCGCCCCCGCCCCCCGGCTTTCTCTGACACTGCACTGGCATTGCAATATACTCCAGTGAGTATAAGAGTGTCACAGGCTGCACTAGGGACCCTGAAGGCCCTTCCCTTGTATATGACAACCCAGTGTTGACTGCAATAGTCCAACAGTCCACGCCTGTCCATTATATGACATGTATTACAATATTATTATTAGCCCCGTTCATAACCAGCGAATGAGATGCTGCTTTGTTGTTGTTTAGTCGTTTAGTCGTGTCCGACTCTTCGTGACCCCATGGAACAGAGCACGCCAGGCACCTCTGTCCTCCACTACCTCCCGCAGTTTGGTCAAACTCATGCTGGTAACCTCGAAAACACTATCCAACCATCTCGTCCTCTGTCGCCCCCTTCTCCTTGTGCCCTCCATCTTTCCCAGCATCAGTGTCTTCTCCAGGGAGTCTTCTCTTCTCATGAGGTGGCCAAAGTACTGGAGCCTCAGCTTCACGATCTGTCCTTCCAGTGAGCACTCAGGGCTGATTTCCTTAAGAATGGATGCATTTGATCTTCTTGCCGTCCATGGGACTCTCAAGAGTCTTCTCCAACACCATAATTCAAAAGCATCAATTCTTCGGCGATCAGCCTTCTTTATGGTCCAGCTCTCACTTCCATACATCACTACTGGGAAGACCATGGCTTTAACTATACGGACCTTTGTTGGCAAGGTGACATCTCTACTTCTCAAGATGCTGTCTAGGCCTGTCATTGCCCTTCTCCCAAGAAGCAGGCGTCTTTTAATTTCGTGGCTCCTGTCACCATCTGCAGTGATCGAGATGCTGCTAAAATGCAGAGAACTTGTGTGTTTTAGAATAACAATAGATCACAGCAACGGGGCAATAATAAACCTTTTATTAAGGGTCAGGCAGGTAAATGTAAGGCAGAGCGGGAGCAATGCGGCTTCAGGGCAGCTCCGCTTTTTGTTTTCTTAGCTTGGGTTCGGAAGTGGGAGCGGGGAAAGGAACTGACAGCTCCCAGGTCGGTTTCCCGCCATCTCACCAAGCAGCGGACCGTCCCGTTCTCCATCTAGAAGCCATTTACTAAAGCGCTCCGAAGAAAGCCGACCAATCCTAATCTTGGTAGGCGGAGGCAGCTAAACGACCGTCCCGCCTCCTTTCAGGCGGCCAATCGGGGCCCTCTCGCTTCCCCCAACCTCTCGCGGCGTTATCTATGAGCGACGCTGAGTTCTCGAACTACAGCCCCCAGGAGCCTCTGCGCAAGCGCCGCCTCAGCCAATCGACGCGCATAGCGAGGAGAAATTATCACCGCTGTGGGCAGGACTAGGCGAGACCCAATCAATCGAAAGGGGGGAGGGGATGCTTTGCTGCGGCAGCGGAAGCAACACTCCCGACTGAGCCCCCTCAGCGTCGGCGAAAGAGGCGGCTCCGGAGGCTGCTCCGAGAGGCTCCGCCGCCCCCTCGGCTGCAGGTAACTCGGCGGGCGAGGGGAGGGCTTGTTCTGGGCTCGGGGCGCCAGGGAGAGGCGCCGCTCCCTCTGGCCAAGCCCCGCCGAGAGTTACTCGAGCTGCGCACCCGAGTCCTCCTCACTCACGGCGGCTGCTTGGGGCGTTCGCGGCGGCCGCCGCAGCCTTTTTATTCTCGCTGAACATCCGGGTCCCTGGCCCTGCGCGTCTGTTTCACATAGTGATCAGGGAGGGAAGGGAGGCGGGCCCTGGCTACTCCTGATTAGCCATTACCTGTGTTCCCATTGGTAGTCAGGCGTAGCCTGTGCGGGCTTTCCCATTGGTTGGCAGGTTGTGCTGCCTTCTATGCTGGGCTGGCTCGCCATGGGGAAGTGAGGTGTTCCCATTGGCTGCCCGCAGAGGGGGGCGGGCTTCGCGCATGCTCTAGTGGGCGGAGCTTATGCCGAGAGGAGAGCTCCGCCCGAAGCGAGCGAAAGGGGAGGGGCCTCGGGAGCCGCCCCTGACCGGCGACGGGCGCTGCTCCCTTTGCCGCCTTGTGCTGCGCGCTGCGGCGTCTCCGCTGCTGAGTGTTGGCTTCTCCCGTCAAGATTCCGCACTAAACTCGGCCCGATCGCGCCTGTCTCGGAAGCCAAAAGTTGGAAGCGGCGAGTTTGCGGGCGGGTGAGCCGGCCCAGCTGTTGCAAGCGGCGCTGTTATAATCATATTGATCGCAGTGGCCCTTCCACGACCAGCGTAGTTTAGGGCCGGGGGTGTGGGGTGGGCGAGGTATCAGGGTTGTTTCCCAGAACAAGGAGGAAAGAGAGCATCCCCGAATAAGGCGCTGCTCCTAGATTCCCCTAGATCTCGCACTGTGCACGTGCAGTCATTACCCCGGATGACTTCATGCTAGCTGCGTTCTGCTGCCAAGCAGGTAATTGAGATACTGTAGGTGTTGCCTGCAATTGATGTTAAAAGAGGGAGACAAACACATGAAAGTTGAATTTATGTTTGTATTGCGGTGTCATAAAGTGGTTTTGGAGTTGATGGTGATGTAGAAGTTATGATCGTGAAGGATGTGAAGACGGATTTAGTCTTCCCTAGCTTGCTACCATCCAGGTGCAGTTTGACTTTATCTCCCATCACTCCTGCTAATTGGCCATTTCAGCTGTCACTGATGGGAGCTGGAGTTCAGAACTGGTTTATGTGATTACTGTACTGATGTCAGGATCCAACGCCTAACACTATTATGCAGCCCAAGATTTGCTTATTCGGGAATAAATTCTTTGTTAAGTGGGGCTTTCTCTCTGGTAAGTGTGCACAGCAGATGCTTAGCTGTTCAGTGTAGTTGTATTGTTCTGCGTAGTTGTACGCTTCCTCTGGTTTCTGCATGGCTGCTGTCAACAACAGTATATAGTAGTTTGTGTAGAACTTTTGAGTTGTTTGGAAGCCCTCTGCTTGAGATCTTGGAAACTAGACAGTAAAGTAAACAATGGTGATATAATTAGATCAATGGTCTGGTTTTACATTTATAGTCACTTCAGTGTTTCTATGTAGCTTGCTCAGCTGTTGCACAGAATTAGCTGAGTCTTTCTGATTGCATTTGGGTACCTGTGTGTGACAGCTGTGTTGCTCATCATTATCTTTACTGTCATGTGTACATGTGCAATCTTTCAATATAGATTTAGTATTTAATACCAGCCTCACCTCCTTTGGAACTGCATGAGGAAAGAGTATAGAGAATTATAGCCATTTACAAAGTACAAGATAATTACATCTATCATTTCATTTATTTAAAGCATTTCTGCCCTGGTCTATAATAATAATAATAATAATAATAATAATAATAATAATAATAATAATAATTTATTTATACCCCGCCCATCTGGCTGGGCCTCCCCAGCCACTCTGGGCGGCTTCCATAGAAACCAAAAATACAGTAAAATATCACACGTTAAAAACTTCCCTGAACAGGGCTGCCTTAAGATGTCTTCTGAATGTCAGGTAGTTGTTTATCGCTTTGACATCTGCCACAGGGCGGGCGCCACTACCGAAAAGGCCCTCTGCCTGGTTCCCTGTAGCTTTGCTTCTTGCAATGAGGGAACCGCCAGAAGGCCCTCGGCGCTGGACCTCAGCGTCCGGGCAGAATGATGGGGGTGGAGACGCTCCTTCAGGTATACTGGACCGAGGCCGTTTAGGGCTTTAAAGGTCAGCACCAACACTTTGAATTGTGCTCGGAAACGTACTGGGAGCCAATGTAGGTCTTTCAAGACCGGTGTTATATGGTCTCGGCGGCCGCCCCCAGTCATCAGTCTCGCTGCCGCATTCTGGATTAGTTGTAGTTTCCGAGTCACCTTCAAAGGTAGCCCAACGTAGAGTGCATTGCAGTAGTCCAAGCGGGAGATAACCAGAGCATGCACCACTCTGGCGAGACAGTCCGCAGGCAGGTAGGGTCTCAGCCTACGTACCAGATGGAGCTGGTAAACAGCTGCCCTGGACCCAGATTTGACCTGTGCCTCCATGGACAGCTGTGAGTCCAAAATGACTCCCAGGCTGCGCACCTGGTCCTTCAGGTGCACAGTTACCCCATTCAGGACCAGGGAATCCTCCACACCTGCCCGCCTCCTGTCCCCCAAAAACAGTACTTCTGTCTTGTCAGGATTCAACCTCAATCTGTCTATAATCTTTAAACTGTATTTGTTTTGTGTAGTTGATGGCATGTTTAATTGATGTTCAGTACATGATTAAAATACTTTGATATAGGTATCTGACACAGATGTTTGCATAGCAACTGTTACTTACCGATATTACTAATGCTAATATTGAGTCTTAATTTCATAAGTTAATTATAGCCCTGGGTTTTTTTCAGATAGTTAGTAGAGAAGTCCTAACGTCAAAATATTGAAAGGTTAATATCCTCTGTACACATTTCTGGAAGTAAGATTCATTGAACACAGTGGGACTTATTTCTGAGCAAACATAAGTTGGCACTGTAAACATTGGATTTGTGCCAGGCCTATGTATTGCTACTTTATTATTTGCACGTGGTGGTTGTCACTTGAACCTGTGTTACTATTTTTATATTTCAGTATATTAACGCACCAACATTTGTTTATTAAGTTATTGAACTTGGTTGAACTGTTTGTATTTTGGATTTTAACCAGATGGAGAGCTTGCATATCATTTGTCACTAGCTACTCTGTGCAAACATATGTAACCTAACTGAATTTGCTGGGATTCCTCAGTAACAAGGGCTTCAGTAATGTAGATGTATGAATTATTTGTAATTCTTTGTGTTCCATAGGTGGAAATGAGTTCTCAGCAGTTTTCCCGTTCAGGACCCCCTCCTGCAAATCTAGGACCAGCTCCTCCTCCGATCTCTACCAGTGGATCTACTGGATTGATTAACCCAACAACTACAGGTAAGGCAACTACAGGATTTCTACTAAGACTTCAGTATGCTTTTTTGGAAGTAAGTTCCATAGAAATCAAAGACAGCATTTCTGTGCCTTGCCTGTTTCTAGTCCTGTTTTCTTTCTGAAATTTCATACATTTTTCTGTTTAGTGAGTGATGAACCCAGTCGAGAAATGGAAGTTGCTACCAGAGATCATGTGGTCCCTGGTGGCTCTCTGCAGTCCCGTGAAGAGAAGCAGGAAACAGTGGTAGTCCGGCCATATCCGCAGGTGCAAATGTTGACTCAGCACCATACGGTACAATCTGGTGTGCCAGTTACAGTAGCAGCTCCTCCAGCACATTTAGCTCCAGCAGTGCCACTTTCTTTTTCTGAAGGTCTTATGAAGGTAATGAGAGCATTGCTTTTCAAGTATGGAATAGGGGTATTTAATAGCACTAATTTAATGCAATGGCAAAGTTAGCTCAGGCTAGATTTAAGTTTAAGCGCAACTTTCTCTTCATTTTAGCATGTACTTGTTTCTATATTGCAACTGCCTTTGATTCCCTGGGACAGAGAAGGTTGAATACTGTTATTTAGTGCTTTCTTAAAAAAAATCTACTGAAACCTTTACCATTGAAGGCAGTCTGACAAGGGACTGGACTAGTACATATTGATGTTCACAGTGATGGAGCAAATATGTTTTCTGTTATGCCAGGGGGGGGTAGGACTTCAACCAATAGGTTGAAATTACAATGAAATGCTCCCCATTGGTACAAACTGTGCCTCAGAAGATGGTGGGCCCTCCTTGTTAGATGTTTTAAAGCAGAGGCTGGTAAGCTAACAGTTATGCTGTAGCAGCTAATTTTCTGCATTAGCAGGGGGTCTATGTGATGTTTTCAGGTCCTTTTCAACTCTGTGAATCTATGAAAAACTCAGTCGAAATATCCTACTGCCCATCTCTTAAACATGCCACTAAATTCTTCCTGAAAAGTGCTGGGTACACTGGTCATGCCCTTGCAAGAGCATTCTAATTGTCAGTTGTGCTGGCTGAGGCTAATGGAAGTTGTGGTATGAAACATCTGGAGGGTACCAGTTGCTGAAGGCTTCTCTTTGCCATGCATGAATAAGAACTGTTGGAGGAGGAGGAAGAAGAGGTTCACAGTAGCTAATTGGAAAGAGGCATCTTGTCCCTTGCATCATCTTCCCCGTACACTGAGGCCGGCAATGAAATGATAATCATTGGTAATCTTAATCCTAAACAGTTTGGCTTAGAGAAAATACAGCCCCACAGGTTTTGAGCATTGACTGTGTCTATTCCAGCGCAACCAGTAGGGAGTTGCATAATTTCAAACACCAGACCTAATTTTTGTTAAGGGGGAGAGAGCAGGATTACAAAAAGTTTCAAGGAAATTGGTTGATGGGGTATGTCTGTCTGTATAATTATTTGTGTGCTAACTCCCAGTAGCTGTCTCCAAGATGAAAGCTTTTTGTACTAGTTACTTGATCTTAAGAAAGCAATATTATTGCACAAAGATTCATCTTTTTCATATGATTCTCTTCTGTGGAATAATGTGTATAGAGAAATTCAAAATAATTTAATTAGACTGTGGCTACCAGTAAGTTCGTTGCAGGTTTTCTTTCCCCCTCAGGGTAAGAGGGCATACTTGTGTTGTTTTTATTTGTTCTGTTGCCACAAATTTCTAAGAACCAGTAGTTGTATCTTTATGTTCTTTGCAGCCTCCCCTGAAGCCTACCATCCCTAGCCGCCCTATTGCACCAGCTCCCCCCTCTCCTCTCTCCTGCCCCACCAAAGTCCCAGGGCAAGTTACTGTAACAATGGAGAGCAGCATCCCACAGGCCTCTGCTATTCCCGTAGCAACAATCAGTGGACAACAGGTAATCATTTTCTTCTTCTAAAGTAACTTTTTGTTTGTTTAAAGTCATGGAAAGCAAACGAAGCACTGTGAACCACAGTAGCCACAGCCTTGGTTTGCATCTCCTACCATAAAAATTCATATCTAACCTGTACTTTCAAACGGCTTAACTGTAGTGTGTGGTTGTATATGAAGCATTCTTGTACATTACATCTAGACGATTTCCCCCCACACAATCTGTTACTTTCTGCAGGGACATCCCAGCAATGTGCACCATATCATGACAACCAATGTTCAGATGTCAATAATCCGAAGTAGTGCTCCTGGACCACCATTACACATTGGAGCGTCTCACTTACCTCGAGGTACTTACATAATCAATCATCCCAAGAAAGTATTATGTTAATAAACTTATTCTGGACAATGTTTATATTGTGGTTAATGCATGCATCAATACCTTGGTAGAGTAGCTATAAAGATAATGGCTGCAATCTAAAATAACTATTTTTAGCTTCTTGGTCTTGGGAAAGTGTAGGGTATAATTAGGGTTACAGTAGAATATGGTGTGCTGATCCTTTTTTTTAAAATAAACCACCCCACACCATATGTTTTAGGACAGGAGTAGCCAGTGTGGTGTCCTTCAGACATTGTTGACTACAAATCTCATCATCCATAGCCAGCAAGGCCAACAGCTCAACCAGTGGGCAGGGTTGATGGGAGTTGTAGTCCAGCAACATTTGGAGGACACCATGTTGGGTGCCCCTTGTTTAGGATATGCTGTGGATCACATGCCGGATACATTCTGGGCAAATCCACCATCCCTAACTGCAGTTAACATTAATACTGGTGTCAACTGCAGTTCAGATGAACCAGATTCTTTATATACCAGGGTTAACAAATCGGCTTCAAGTCCTGTTCAAGAGATTAGGCTCAATTCAATACCCCTGTAAAATAATCTGCAGTTTAAGCCAGCTGGAGAAACTTCATGCATCTGAAGGGAGGAGGGAGCGTACAGTTCCATAGCCTATTCTCTCAATGGTTTATGCAGCTGAGGGATATTGCAGCTATACAACCCTGGTTGATGTTACCACTTTTTCTTTCTTTTATGCAAATTGCTTTGTTTAGCCAGCACTACTAATAGCACTCTTAATTCTTTGTGTCATGTATAAAGAGTTGTGGCCGCTCTTACACTTTTTGAAAAGTGGAAGGTCTTAGGGGTTGTCTCAGTTTTACATGGGATTTTCCTCAGGTGCCGCAGCTGCTGCTGTGATGTCCAGTTCTAAAGTGACAACTGTCCTGAGGCCAGCTTCACAGTTGCCAAACGCAGCGACAGCTCAACCAGCAGTTCAGCACATCATTCATCAACCTATCCAGGCAGGTGACAATTGTGCAGTATGATTGTTGTTGTTGCTTTCAGATTCTTTTGGGCTTTTCTTAAGCGGGAAACCACTTCCATAGTTAAATGAACTGTGAAATCTGACAACTGGTTCTTGTGACTCAAATTCTTCAGCATTGCAGGCCAAGATTTAAAGAACCTGTAAAGGGAGCAAACTAATAATATTATCCAAAGAGTGAACTTCAGATTAACTCCCCAAGTTAAAGAGCTTTCCATTTTGTTTGAAGCCCTGCTGTTAATGGTTGGTTGGCTTTTAGCTCCATTTGTGTGCAGTAGTGGCTGGCACAGGTGGGGCTGCATTGCTTTCCTGACTTCCCAGTGCTGCACTTCACTGCCAGTTACCAAGGGGGATAAGCAAGGCAGCAGGGAGCTCAGTGTGGTGCAAGCACAGTTGTGGAGCCTACCATGCCAAGCTCTGTTTATATGTAAAATAGTTCCTAGTTTGTAAGGTTGCCAACAGTTTTTCTATATGTTTACAAAAATCTACATATTGCTAAGGGAGAAAAATGTGTCTGGCAATCAAATTATCTGACCCTTAGGAGACTCAGAGGTCCATTTTTACAAAGTTTTGCTATGTGTAATTTCTTTACATTTTAGGCAGTTAATAATTTTTTTAATTATTGGTTGAAAGCCCTAATGTAATACTTTTCCTTACCTACCACAGTCCCGGCCTCCTGTGACAACTTCAAGTACCATCCCTCCTGCTGTTGTAGCAACAGTGTCGGCCACGAGGGCCCAATCACCTGTTATTACAACAACGACAACACATGCCACAGAAGCTACCCTCAGGTAACCACTACACCCACTAACAGTATAATCATAGATACGTTTATTTGGAAGTGAGTCACTCTGTGCTCAGTGGAGCTTACTCCCTAGTTTCTTGAAGAAACTAGAAAGAAACTTTCTTGAAGAAGAAGAAGAAGAAGAAGAGTTTGGATTTGATATCCCGCCTTTCACTCCCTTTAAGGAGTCTCAAAGCGGCTAACATTCTCCTTTCCCTTCCTCCCCCACAACAAACACTCTGTGAGGTGAGTGGGGCTGAGAGACTTCAGAGAAGTGTGACTAGCCCAAGGTCACCCAGCAGCTGCATGTGGAGGAACGGAGACGCGAACCCGGTTCCCCAGATTACGAGACTACCGCTCTTAACCACTACACCACACTGGTTCTTGGGATTGCTTTCTTAAATAAACAAAGGTACATTCGGTGATTTAACTGAGGGCCACTTTACACAATATGGCCATCTAATGGGAGCTGCTTCAAACGGCCTCCCTAGGCAGCTGCTCCATGAAAGGAGCCATTCTGTGTGCAGCATCTTGCTATGCAGCTAAGCACTCTTTCACATGGTGGCCATATAATGTGAAACAGCATTGATTGAACTGTCCAGAAGAAATGCTGTTGGTGCATTAATTCATGTAATGCACAATGAAGAAGCCATTCTAAGCCCCATTGTGGTATCTCTTCATAAAATGAAGAGTTCAGAAAAAGAACCTTAGATTGTCTTTTCCAGCCGGCCAACACTGTCAATTCAGCAGCACCCACCTTCTGCACCTATCAGTATTCAGCGCCCTGCACAGCCACGGGATACAGCAACCAGAATTACCCTGCCGTCCCATCCAGCCATAGGAACACAGAAACAGCAGCTTCACACCATGGCTCAGGTAAACATTATAAGCACGATCAGCGCAGTTTCTTCCATGTTGTTGTTGTCTGAGTTTTACCATATGGTTTTATAAGGTAGTTGAATGAGGTTTCATGACATGGCATGAAACATATTGTTGGCCTGGACAGGGGGAGGGAAACTTCCAACCCACAATCCTCCATTCCTAAGTCTGGAGCTTCTTTCCTTTTGGGAACACAGTCTGCCTCCTTTCTTTCTTTAATCTGCAAGCAAGTCTAGCCTTCCTTTCCTCTTCTAGGCTGCTGCTTTTCTACTTGGTGTTTGATATACCTAGCATCTTTCTTTTGCTCAGTCCTCTGGTGTTACTGTAAGAGGCTTAAAAAGCCCTGTTGGATCATGGCATCCCGCTGTGCTGTGGCTGATAGTCTAGGTAGCTTGTGGACTCTCGTGAGCTGGTCACTTAGACCAACAATGGGAGCCCATCTACTCCAGCTCCTCTGTAAAGCATCAGATCGGGGGGAAGTGCCGTCTCTGTTCCAAGATGCCGAAATATGCCAATCATGGTTTCTTGACAGACAACTTTTCCCCCCCTGCAGAAAACAATATTTAGTACTGGTGCTCCAGTGGCAGCAGCAACCGTGGCCCCTATTTTAGCAACCAATACCATTCCTTCGGCAACTACAGCTGGTGAGTATCTACAGCTCAGCATTTCTTATGTACAAATACAAAAGCCAGTTATTAGGGTTGAAGTATCCTGCTAAAGGACGCGGGTGGTGCTGTGGTCTAAACCACAGAGCCTAGGGCTTGCCGATCAGAAGGTTGGCGGTTCGAATCCCCGCTACTGAGTGAGCTCCTGTTGTTCAGTCCCAGCTCCTGCCCACCTTGCAGTTCGAAAGCATGTCAAGTGCAAGTAGATAAATAGGTAACACTCCAGCGGGAAGGTAAACGGCGTTTCCATGTGCTGCTCTGGTTCACCAGAAGCGGCTTAGTCATGCTGGCTACATGACTCGGAAGCTATCTGCGGACAGACGCCGGCTCCCTCGGCCTATAGAGCGAGATTAGCGCCACAACCCCAGAGTCATCCGCGACTGGACTTATTGGTCAGGGGTACCTTTACCTTTATCCAGCTAAAAAAAAGCCCTTTATCTCTCATAATTATTGAGTGGCACAATAAAATTAGTGTATGATTTTAACATGTGAATTTGGAGGCTAGGCACACATGGAAAACACTACCCCAGTTACTGAAAGAGCAGGCTTGGGGTCTAGCTGTTTCCCAGCATAGAAGTTTCCATATTTTTTGATATACATTTTCTGTCAAAGGCACAGACTCTGAAGAATGTTTAATTGCGTGTGCACCTTTCTTCCTTTCAGGTTCTGTATCCCACACTCAAGCACCTACAAGTACAATTGTCACAGTGACTATGCCCTCACACTCCTCCCATGCAACGGCTGTGACCACCTCAAACATCCCCGTCGGTAAGAGAGCATTAGTTCTGAGCTTCATTGTCCTTTGATCTATCATTTTATTTTCTGCTGGGGACAGAATGGACTAGGTACATCAGGGGTGAGGAAACTTCTTTGCTTTCCACAGGGCAACTTTGACAGGTGTCTGGTCCCACCTAGCTGCTGAAACCCCTTGTGTGGGGTTTCCAAGCTTGAGAACTACAGCACAATGGGTGTTGTCAGCCCTGTGCTTTGCAACCCTACCTGCGCTGCTCCTTTCCACCCGTCTTGTTAAAGGTGAAAAGTAGCCGCACTGGGTGGCTTCAAACAGTAGTGCTGGGCAGGAGAAGCAGGTTCCCCTCCTTGAGCAAGCCATGCTCCTACTACCCACCAATTGAATGGAGGTTGGGAGTGCATCTTGCTCCAGCAAAGGAACAATCAGTATCTGTTTCCTAGTATGAATCTACTACAGTTTACTTTGTGAATAACTGGGATGTCTTTTTTCACTGTACAGCTAAAGTAGTCCCACAGCAAATTACGCACACTTCCCCTCGCATCCAGTCTGATTACACTGCAGAGAGGAGTAATCTCATTCCTATATCTGGGCACCGGGCATCTCCAAACCCAGTTGCCATGGAAGCTAGAAATGATAACAGGTAACTGAATGAATTTACTCACATAGGATAGGTACTTAATCGTCCTGGTTATATTGCATGTATGTTATATGTGAGGACATCTGCAAAAATATAATGAAATGTGTTTTGATCTCTCAGTTAACTTAAGTATCCAAAGCTAATCCTATGCGCACACGTATCTGAGAGTAAGCCCAATTGAACTTGGTGAGATTAGTTTCTGAATAGATGTGCATAGGATTGCGCCAGCTAAGGCTTTGCATATTTCTGATGAAAGAAGGGCTTGTGATTTTGGATTGATTTGAACCAATCTGGCTGAAAAGGCATCTAGGTAACCAAGCTGCAATATATTCTTCCAGTTCTGAGTTATGGACAGTGCGCTTCAAATTCTACAGTTTGTTTAAAAGAGTGTGGATTCAGGGAATTGTCAGGTTCCTGAGGAGCAAATAAGCTGCATGTCAAATTTGACTCCTTCATTTCAGGGCAGCTGTACATGAAGGGAAAGGAGCTGCATTGTTAGGAAGTGGAAATAGTGTCAGGTGTATACATGTTCTACAAACAGACTACATAGTGGCATGAAGTATGTGCAAATGTAGAAACCCTTTCACTTCACTTCTTCCGTTTACTCTTTATTGTGAATTATACTGTTCAACATTGTCAGGGTATAGAAAGAGGGTTGGAATTTGGAAGCTTTTTGGGTGTCCTGCCAAGTAGGTAAATGTGATGGCCCACAAAGAAACTAGCAGACTAGAACAGTTGATTGCATTGCAACAAAGGTTAATTAACAATCACTGCTACAGTTCATTTGAAGGCTACAATTATACTGTTGTGTCTAACATTTAATTCATCTTCATTCCTCTAGACAGTCAGTACCTGTTCAATTCCAGTACTTCTTACCAACATATCCACCTCCTTACCCTTTGGCTGCCCACACTTACACACCAATTACCAGCTCTGTATCCACTATACGCCAATATCCTGGTAAGGAATCTCAAAGTTTGATTTACAGAAGAGTTTTAGAGCAGCTACATAAATGAGCTTTCTGCATCAACTTTTCTTTTTTAAGTTTAAAGTGGGGTTCCAAAGTACTTTGGGAAACAAGCAAAGGTTATCTGGCAAATTTAATATTTAAATAATTAAAAAATCCTCTCTGCAAAGCTTGCTCAAGTCAAGATAATGATGAACCAGATCAGCAAAGGATGTTAATCATTTGCTAAAGACTTCTGGCTTCGCAATGGGTTTTTCTCTCCCTCTCCTCTTCCCCATGCCCTCCCCAAATCTGCTCAGGAGAATTGGGGGAATCCCCAGAAAAATTGGGGGGTGCACAGGGGGCTGAGAAGGAGAGGAAATTCCATTGCACAGCTAGAGCTCTTTGTTCCAACAGAACTACTTTGGTGGCTACCACATAGGGTCTGTTTTTTTGACCCCAAACATAGTGACTGCCAAGGGGAATTTTTAATCTAAATGATTTGGGGAATTCTGCAGTTTTTAAGTTTTGGTGCTTTGTCGTTCTGAAAAATTGGTATTTTGTAATTACTCTCAAATTGACTTGTTTGTTTCTTGTGATTTGTATTACAATGGCTACTGCTACAAACAATAACAAAAAATCCTCCTGACCGTCCTCTTCCACCCTTCTCTTGGATGTCCTGTTGTTTTTGGAAATGGGGGTTTGCTTTTAATTCTAAACTGGCAAATTTTGGTTTGTGCAAGCTCTCCAAACCACGATTGACAATGTGAAATAACTTCTAATAGCTTGGCAATTGAGGTGAAAGTTTAACTGGCGAGTCTCTGCTTTGTGTTCTCAGCCATTGTATTACATGAGCTCCACGTTTACAGCGTTCAGCTGCTCTATTCCAAACTATTGGAATATCCAGTAATAACCACTTCTAAATTACTTCAGCTAATCAGAAAACTTGTTATAGCTAGACCCTAGCTGTGAAAGGGCCATATGTTTTCTTTGGAGTATTGGAATAGATCTTTTTCTTTGCATATATAACCTCAACAGTGCTCATGAGGATTATTATAATTCAGCTTTAGCATTATGCAGCCACTGTTGCTGCTGTATAAACGTAATGCTGGAAGGGCTGGCTTATGAATCTTATTTAATCTGTTGGCATCTTCAGCAGGACCACAGATGTGTGCATAAACTACAAGTATTTAAATACAAAATCTAACAATGCTGCTTGGCAACACAAGATAATAAATTGGCTGTTTTGTGTGGAAGTAATTAAGTCTATTGTTTGGTATTTCCAGTTTCAGCTCAGGCGCCAAATTCTGCCATAGCAGCTCAGACTGGAGTAGGAGTGGCCTCCACAGTTCATCTTAATCCCATGCAGCTGATGACAGTGGATGCATCTCATGCCCGTCATATTCAGGGCATCCAGTCTGCACCAATTGGTGCACAGGGTATACAACCAGCACCCATCAGTGCACAAGGAATACAGTCTGCGCCAATTGGAACCCAAGGGCTACATCCAGCTGCCCCAATTGGCACACAGGGTCTTCAGACTGCACCAATGGGTGCTCAACAGCCACAAACTGAAACCAAGACATCAGGTAACTAGCCAAGAATGCTTGTGTTGCGAGCAAAATTGTCCATAACTATTCCTCTTGGGGTTTGCTTTTTAATCATGTAATTATGGCTGCAATACTACTGTGAACACCTACTTAGAAGTTCTGTTGAGCTTGGTGGGGTTTATGATTAAAAATCCATAGGTTTGGGCTGTCACTAACGTGGACAACTGCCATTTCTGTTTCTGACTCAAACACACTGCTAGAGTCACTTAAACATTTTATTTTGTTTACCAGTATCTGCTGTTCCCTATCTCCTAGCAAAAATATATGATCAAGTTTGTGGGTGGTTTTCTTAAGGTATGGCTAATTAGAGTTTTAATCCTGTGTATACATTTTTGAGAGAGCCCCATTGAACACCTTGAGTTAACGTTTGTAGAACTGAGCATCAGATAGTTTTAAAACACTAAGCCTGCTATCCAATTTTGGTTATACTCTTAGTAGAGCAATGAAAAATATTGACTTAAGTCTATTGAGTCCAGTGGTTCTGAAGTATGATTTGGATGGCTGTCTCCTTAAATTTGGCATTTGTTGAGCAAGCATAGAATGGAACAACATTCCGACTTCTTATTTTAAGAGAAACAGCTTCTGGTTAAATTTCTCTTGCTTTTGTCTGCTACCTCCCTATAACCTTTTTGTTCCTTCCATCAGTGGTCTTGGCAGATGGAGCCACTATTATGGCCAATCCAATCAGCAATACATTCAACACTGCTCCAGCTTCAACTACAGTGGTACAAACCCATAGTCAGAATGCCAGTTCTAGTACACCAGCCCAGGGTTCATCCCCTCGCCCAAGCATTCTCCGGAAGAAACCCACTACAGATGGGTGAGTAAAATTGCAGTTGCTTTGATAATGTGCAACCTCCTTGCCACTGTACAAGAAATAGTGCTGTTTCTAATAAAAACATCCTGTTGGTGCAAGGATTTGTGCCTGCGCGATGGGATTTCCTCTCCCTCCGCACCCCCCAATGTCTTCTGTGGGTTCTCCAGTCCTCTGTAGGAGATTTGGGCCAGGTGTGCAGGGGTGGGAGAGGGAGAAGTCTCATTGCACAGATGAAAGTCCTTTCACCGACAGTACAATATTATTGGATACAACCTTGTAGCATTCTGTTCATCAATCGTCTTATGTATGCTGAGCATTATGACAGAATCAATAAAACATGTGAGAACTCATGGAATGTGTATTTATTAGTGAAGACTTATACCCTGCCTTACCTCCAGTACGTAGCTCAAAGCAGCTTACGAAAACAGAGATGTGTGTATTTTTAAAAAAATTCAAAACTGAAAACAGAGTAACAGATCAGTAAAATAGAAGAGTAAAAACACTTCAAAACAGGGACCAGGCAATTTCTTAAAACTAGCCACTGTAGGGGGCAACTGTATTTCTTCAGGAAGTAATTTTCATAGTCTGGAGTCAACGGTGCAGGGAGCACTACAGAAAATGCCTTGTCTCATGTCAGCGGCCTCCTAGCATTTTATGTGTGTGTGACCATAAGCAGGGCCTCAGTGCTGACTTCAAGGCACAAGTTGGACAACATAGGGAGAGCTGTTCTTTTAGATAACTAGGTACAAGGTCGTTTAGGGCTTTATATGCTAATAGCAGAACTTTGAATCAGGCCCAGTAACTCACAAGCAGCCAGTGCGGAACCTTAGGAATTAGTGTTACATGACCCAGGCTGTCCAGCAGCTTTCTGCACCAGCTGTAGTTTCGTAACCACCTACAAGGAAAGAGCTCTGTCACCTGTGTTTGGTCAAACCCACTTTACATCTTAAGTAATCTATGCTCTAGGCATCTTCCGACATGTTTCATTGCCCAAAGCCTCTTGGGAAACCAGGACTGGAGAGGGCCCCTAGGTGCAATTGTGTCAGTGGCCTATATCATCTTGCTTTTCCACAGCAAGACTAGGGTCTTGACAGGAGAGGCAGCTGTTCTGTTTGGAAAATTTCCCTGCGCGTTCAGGAATCTTTTGGATTCCATTAATCTGCTGGAGCGAACAATTCTAATCAGCCCCCCAGCTGGAGCCTATATAGGATAAATATAGCAGAAGAGAATAATAGTACACCACTTTTAAATTAAGCACCCTTGGCAACTATTGTAATAGTTTTGCTTTTCAGAAACTACTATATTCATGGCTATTTTGCAGGTTGGCGGTTAGGAAAAGCCTCATCCCTCCGCAGCCATCTGAGGTATCTGGCACTCGAGTGGAAAGCTCTATGAGGAGTGCATCTGGATCGCCAAGACCAGCTGGGTAAGATCTCATAATAAAAAGATATGTAAAGCATTCAAAGTATTGTAATTCTAACTTGGCAAAAAAGGTGAAAGAGATGCTGGCTGTTCTTACCCATTGCAAAATAATAAGCTCCGTGGAGACAGCTGGTGCATGCATACTTCTGGGTAAATGGGAGTTCAGTGAAATATTCAGTGATGATCACTGAGCTGTGCAAACAGATTAGGACCTGGGGAACATAAAATAGGGAACTATTTTAAGAGTATTGAATTACTTTTTCTCAGATCACTACAATATGCACATATTGGCCATGTTCAGATATAAGCCTGTGCATAGCCATAGTTAGGCAAGATAGTCTTGCCAATGAGCCATATGATGCCTACAGTTTTAGCATTCCCCGTTTTTCTCTCCCCTTCTTTGAGTGGGAAAACAAAAAACAGCAGGCAGCTTAGTGGATCAGACAAAAATGTGTTGTCGAAAATGGGGTCCAGTGTACTGGGAATCATCTGTGTTAAAATGTATTCTTAGCTTGATGGTTTTTAGCATGTAAATTTGACTGGCTTACTGTCAAGCTCTGTCCAAACCAGCACTCCTGGTTCCTTTCTGCATTTGAAAAAAACATGACCAGGAAGCCAGTGTTCTTGGTTTCCTAAATGTGATTTCTTTGGGAGAAACAAATCAAAGGTTCTGATTCAGGCATAATGCTAAAACCTCTTTCATTTTGGACCTCATTTTTTGATATAGCACTGGAACCCTAACCTTGTTGCTTTCTGATGTTTTTACATGGTATTGTCAAGATTCTGAAGAAAAGGCATTAAACTTGGTGACTGTATTTCACCATTTCTGGTGGGCTTGTACTACTTAGAGTCTGGAAACCCAAACTTCCATCTACTTATGTGATGTCGCCATATTGTAAGATATGTTTCTAGAAAACGAAAGGGGGAAAAAACCAGAACAAAATTAATCTTTTAGAGGCTCTACATTTCTATACAGTTATGGTAGTAGGATCTTGAATAAGTGAACCTGCTAACTTTTTCCTTTTTTTGTTTTGTTTTGTTTCATCTAGTGCCAAGCCAAAACCAGAAATCCATGTGTCTATGGCCACTCCAGTGACTGTATCTGTGGAGGCAGTATCCATTCAGAGCAATGAACAACCTCCAATTGCAGTCCCCACTTCCCAGCAGCCACCAGCTGCCATTCCAACCATCATCACAGCAGCTAGTCCACCTTCGCAGCCCACAGCTGCCCTGTCAACCATTCCAGGAACTGTTCCTGCTGCTGCACCGACTTCAACCACAATTGTGGCAGCTCCTCCACCTCCACCAGCCATGGGTGGCGTCCTCTCTACAGTATTGGGCCCTGTTGTACCAGAGATAAAAATAAAAGAGGAAGTGGAACCCATGGATATAATGCGGCCAGTCTCAGGTAGATTTCTGCTTAAGCAATCACAAATGAGATGCTCAAAGTAGGTACAAAAGCTCCACAGCAGATAATAATTAGAAAGATTGTTAGCAGCTTCATTTTAAATTATATTTTGTTTGATTTTAGTAATGAGGTTCAGAGTTTATTAAGAGCAGGGCCATAGCTAGCATGTCACTGAAAGCTACAAGAGTTGCATAGTTATAAAATGGCAGGTAGAAATAAAAGGATACAGTGGTACCTCTGGTTATGAACTTAATTCATTCCGGAGGTCCGTTCTTAAGCTGAAACCATTCTTCTCCTGAGGCGCACTAATGGGGTTCCTGCTGCACAATTTCCGTTAGCATCCTGGGGCAAAGTTCGCAACCAGGAGCATCTACTTTCGGGTTAGCGGAGTTCATAACCAGAAGCATTCATAACCAGAGGTACCACTGTATACTTGCTATTAAAGTTTGTGGAGAGATCAAACATTAGTGCTTAATTCTGCTCTGTAGTAAACACTAAGAGAACAGTTGTGCAGCCTTATAGTGAGAAGTCTCTGTTCAAGGCTTTCACTCTTAAATTCAATTTGTTAAGGAATTTCCTGAAAGTTACTTTTGCCGTAGTAGTTTGCATGTCAAACACAAACTGCCAATCGATTGCACTAAAGGTGCCTCACAGCTTTATTGGGAACTGAAAGAGCCCAAACGCTGTCATAGTAACCATAATCCCAGAAAAAAAGAGATCAGGGAGGATTGAAACAAAAGACTTCGTTTGCTTAGCTCTGCTCACTCTTATTCATGACGTAAGGCCAAACCATTCAAAAGAAAATCAGGGGGAAAGTATATATAAAAGCTCTAAGATCCTTGAGAGGAGGGACTCTAGAAAAACATAATGTTCTCCTCTTACAAAGGCACTGCACTGGCAGTTAGCATCTGGTCTCTAGCATTGCAGTCTTTGGAAGACAAGGGTGTTGGCTCTAAAGCTGCCTTTGTTTTACCTGTCAGTCTCTTAAAACATGTCCCTTTCTGTCTTCTCTTTCAGCAGTTCCTCCACTGACTACAAATACTGTCTCCCCATCTCTTACACTGCTGGCCAACAACCTTTCAGTGCCCTCAAGTGACTTGCCACCTGGTGCCTCTCCAAGGAAAAAACCACGAAAGCAGCAGCACATAATCTCTACAGAGGAAGGGGATATGATGGAGACTAATAGCACTGATGATGAGAAATCCACTACCAAAAGCTTGCTGGTAAAAGCAGAGAAGCGCAAGTCACCACCAAAAGAATATATAGGTGAATGGAAATAAATAAATTAAATAATTGGTTGGTTGGTTGGTTGTCATCTTCTCCAAGTAATACCCATCCACCCAAAATGTAAGATTGCCACTAGAAAAGGCATTTGAGCTAAAAATGATTAACTTTGGGTCCGTCCATCCCCCGCAAAGATCAGTTTTTCATGGCAGATTATTATTGGAGTGCAGGGGGAGAGCTGTTGGAGCTGAATTAATCTCTAATTCAAAGTATGCCGGCCCTATTGTGGGATCACATTTTCTTTCCTAGCTCAAAACGCAAGCACCTTAAAAGAGGCTTTAGTTATTTCTCAATCTTGCTTTAGATGAAGAAGGTGTGAGGTATGTGCCTGTACGTCCTCGGCCACCCATAACACTGCTTCGCCACTATCGCAACCCATGGAAAGCTGCCTATCATCACTTTCAGCGGTATAGTGATGTCAGAGTGAAAGGTATGTCTTCCTGTCATTACATTTTGCATGGGTCAGTGAACAGATGTGTTACAATATTAGACAGGTGTCTACTTGCAAACATTTAACCTCTGATGTAGGATGTGCAGCGAATTGCCTAGAAACATATCCACCATCTAAAGCCACTGTAATATTTGTACTGCAGAGGCAGTGCTAATACATATCAGTTTTCCTATTGTTACTGAGCTTTAGTTATACATAAGGTAATAGAGAACCTCAGCTGACAGGAAATAGTCTATGTATACTTGCTTGCTCTCTGTGTGTCTGATTAGCAAAATGAATTATGCAAGAAAAGTGGGTGCAAGGAGACTTCCTTACTTTGCATTATGTATTTATTGAATTTGACTTTAGGGTTTCTACATATATAGTCCCTGGCTATTAGATAAACTAAGTTTACCAACACTTGATACAAAGATTCAAAGCAAGCCCCACTCCACCCCTGTTCAGATCACAAAATTTGGCTGTTGCATTATTGCGCATCTTGACCCTGGATACCTGTTCCTGCATTCTACCAACATCTGTGGTCAGGTTTCACATACCAGGTACACAAATGACTGCTGCAGTAAACTTAGTATTTTTGTAGCTCAAGGAACAAGGAACATTTCACCTTTTAAAAACTCATTATTTGCTTGTGTCTCATATTTGACTCTTGTTCTAGAAGAGAAGAAGGCTATGCTGCAAGAGATCGCTAATCAGAAAGGTGTATCGTGCCGTGCGCAGGGGTGGAAGGTCCACCTTTGCGCAGCACAGCTATTACAGCTGGTAAGTGGGGGAAATGGGGTAGTTTCATACAACATGAGGAAGAGATTCCTCCAAGAAAAGCCTTAGCCCAGGAAGTTTTCTGAAAGGTGATACAAAACTATATATATATATATATATATATATATTTGCTTTCGTAGATTTTCACGGGTACAGGAATGCAGGTTTTGGTGTCCTCGGGTGTCTTCCCGTGTAAAAGTTGGGGTGTCTAGGCGACGTTTCGACGAGGTCTCACTCGTCATCTTCAGGCTGGAGCTTTCGGCTTCTTGTTATATATATATATATATATGCTGACTGGAGGAGGCAGCACTGTTCCACATTCCTGGATGCTTCTATTTCAGGTGGGGGTGATGTAGGTGCTTTGTATTCTAGCGCCAAGCTCCCAAGGCCATGAGGAATACTATGGAAATGTGACATTACATTGTGTATGTAATTTAGGAGTGCTGGGCTGCTGATGGTGTGTGAAACGAGGTTTTGATCTAAGTATAAAAGGTGATGGTAAGAGGACTAGAACCTCAAAGCATATCTTTCACAGGCATTGGATGACAGTTACTTGTATATAGGGAGTTACTGTTGTACTGTACTGAAAGCAGCATAGAGTAGGATCCATGTTTCCTCATTCTGAAGTGGGACAGCCCTGCTTCATTTTGAAGCATATTTCAGAGAGCATCCTACTGCAGTTGCAATAAAGACATTGTAACCTTAAGAAGAGGAGCACTGTTCTGTCAGCAGTGAAAAATAGTACTGAATCTTTTGAAAGCAGTTGTATGAGCAGATGGAATTTTTATAGCTTATGCAGCCCTTGATATGAAACAGTGTGAAAATGTTAGGTGTTCTTGCCAAATTCTAATATTTTATAGACCAACCTGGAGCACGATGTGTATGAACGACTCACCTCCCTGCAAGAAGGGATCATTCCCAAGAAAAAGGCAGCAACTGATGATGATTTGCATCGAATAAATGAACTGATACAGGTAAAGGCTTATTGTTCACTCCTTCAGTTTGGTGATTTGCAATTGATATTTTTTCTTAATTTAAATGGTGGGACATGTTTTTTAAACGTGAAACAAAGAACTGTTAAAAGAGGGAAGTAGGAAATGAAGCAGACTAAACAAACCAGACAGTATTTTAGTATAGCCACTCAAAATAGTAACCTATTAAAAACAAGCACACATATGGTTATGTTAAAAAATGAATAATTTGGGATGTATTTAAACAATACAACAAATAGAACAGTGTTTCCCAACCTTTTTTGGGCAAAGGCACACTTGTTTGATGAAAAAAATCTCGAGGCACACCACCATTACAGCCCCATGACGTCAGCGCGCAGCGTCACGCCGGGAGGGACGCACGAAAGTGTAACTTTCAATTTTTTCCCCTCCCCCTTGCCGGGGAACCTCCAAGCTTTGGGGGTGGGGGGGGAGGAGGCAGCAAAGCGAGGGACTGAGGGACTCCTCCAACGACAAGGGTTGGGGAAGAAGAGAAAGGGCTATTCCGCTCCAGTCACGGGAGGGGAATATGTACTGGCCCAACTGGTGTGCGGTCTTCGGAAAGCGGGGTGCGGGAAGGAAGCCTAGGCTCGGGGTCCACCGACCTCGGCGGAGAAAGGCAACAACCGGAGCCGATAACGAGCCGGCGCGTGCGTGCAGCGGCTGGCCTCGAGCTCGGGAAGCTGCGTGCGGCGATGTTGACGCGGGGCGCGCGAGAGCTTGGGGGCGGGGCGGGAGAGAGAGAGAAAGAGTTGGCAGCACCAGGCGCTGTTACTTATTGCGCTGCGGACGCTGCCAGCAACTGCGGTGGTTGTGCGGCCGCCGCCGCAGAACGTCCTCGTCAGTCAGCTGAGCTGCCTGGCGGCGTAGGGAGCCGAGGGGCGGGGCTTCCTTTCTGAAGGAGCTGAGGGTGGGGGTCCTCCGGCGCCTTCGGCGAAACGGCGCCGGCCCAGAGCGCTTCTAGGAGGCTGCCTTTGTGCGCGACGTAAAGCCCTCTTTCCCTCCCTCCAGCCCCGTGTCACATGTGGAATAAATAAAAACTGTGGCTGCATTGTAGCTACATCCCGGCCTCGGATCCCCGCGGGATTTGCCTAATCCTTTGGAAGCCCCCTCCCCTCCCCGGCCCCCCATTGTTCTGTCGGGGGTCCCGCGCCCCCCTCTCGCCTGTCCCCCGGGCTTTGTTCTCGATTTGGAGAGGCGGCGAGGCTCAGCTCCGGCCGGGAGAGGGAGGCTGCCTTCCAGCCCGCCGTGCGCCCCGGGAGCCTGGACGGCGGGGACGGGAAGGAAGGCGCTTTGGGGGGCGCGGGGCGCCGCCCGCCGCCGCCTCTCCCAGCAGCCCGGCAGGCAGGGGAGGGCGCGGAGGGGCGCCCGGCGCGGAGACGCCAGGTACCGGCAGCCCTTGAGGGGAGGCGCCGGCGGCGTCCAGGGACCGCGCCCGCCTGGCCCGGGAGGCGGTGCAGCGCCAGATGTTGCCGCTGCTGGAGAGCCTCCGAGCCCCGGGAGGCTGCGCGCGGCGGTGGCGGCGGCGTCCAGGCGCGCTGGGGGATGCGGGAGCCGAGGGGGCGCCCGCGGGGGAAGGGAAGGGGAACCCCCTCCTCTGCAGCGGGGCCAGAGGGCCTTGATCCAGATGGGCCGTGGCGCTCCAGCGTCTCCTCCGGTGGAGAGCGGGCGACCTCCGGTTGGGGGGCAGCAGGGGTGCCAAATGGATTAAAATATTGGGGGGCGCCCAGGTAAGCCCCACTCCAGGATAGATGGATTTCTATCCTCCGGGGGTCCTCCGGCGCCTTCGTCGAAACGGCGCCGGCCCAGAGCGCTTCTAGGAGGCTGCCTTTGTGCGCGACGTAAAGCCCTCTTTCCCTCCCTCCAGCCCCGTGTCACATGTGGAAAAGGGGGCTGGATCCAGTGACGCAACTCGGAAAACTGTTAGGGAAGCCAGAGCAGGAAAGTGAGTGGGAGGCGGCGTCGCCGCTTTAACCCACGTTTCCTTTTTGAAAGAGAAACCAGTGTTTCCCAACCTTTTTTGGACTCGCTCGCGGCACACCAGGCAACATCTCGCGGCACACTAGTGTGCCGCGGAACACCGGTTGGGAAACACTGAAATAGAAAATAGATATTCACAGGTTCCATGGTTCCGTGTATCATTCAAAGCCTGAGCATAATATAAAATTTCTAAAAGTGAGGGGACACAGACACACGGGGGGAGAGAGAGAGAAGAAGAAGAACTATTCCATTACTCACAGAAACCTCCATCCTCTTTGTGGCAGCCATAAGGAAGATACCCATTTTTAATTAACTGCAATTTATTATTCCATTCAAATTCTAAATTATGATTAATATTAATTATGGTTAGGGAAACAAGCCAACTTAATCAACCATGGTTTGAAATTGGCTTGTTTCCCTAAACCATAATTAAAAATAACTGTTGATCCAGGTTTGGACATGACTCTCCTCCTTGCCGCTATGCAAGAAGTGGAAAGAGAAGTGGGAGAGCACACAAGCCTCATTCAAGCAGCACTAAGTTTAACATTGTGTCCAAATGAGGTTGCTTTCGCCTTGAAAGTTCACCATTATTACTATGTGTCTTGAAATGCAAATGTCTTACATAATACATTTGATGTAGAGAGTCTAATTTCCCAGATTATTATTAGCAGAAAGTGGAAACATACTTGTTCATCTGTTCCTAAATGGCTGTTTCGTTTGTTTTTAAAATTATTTAGGTCATGTACTCTCTGACATTTCAATGTGGTTGTTTAAAGATTACTTGTGTGCCTATGAGGCATTCAGCTGTTTAATATCAGTCCTGTGTTGTGTTTCAGGGGAATATGCAGAGATGTAAGCTCGTAATGGATCAAATAAATGAGGCTCGAGAATCCATGCTAAAGGTCTTGGATCACAAAGAGCGTGTTCTGAAGCTTCTCAATAAGAATGGAACTGTCAAGAAAGTATCCAAATTGAAGAGAAAAGAAAAAGTCTAGAGCCAGAGGTATAAAGACTCTGGAAACAAAGGTTGTACAGAACAGTGTTAAGGCTCTTTTAATTGGGGGTTTGTTTTAGAGAGCTACATCTGAGTAAGAAGGACGATGGATGGATACGTTGGAGCCCAATGACCTTAAGGGATGATTATTGATCTATCAAAGGAACAAAGATTTTTCTCAGGCTTGTCCCTGTTTAAACTCTTCACAGTCACATTTTGTTTAGCCCTCTTGATGTGCCAGTGCCTATTAATTGGAACCATTGATGCAAACGTGATAGACAGTCCTCGCCCTTCCATCCTACAGTTTTAGAGATAACTCCACAGGTTTGTACAATGGATTCTGCAGCAGACCTCAAGAACCATCTATCTTGAAACTGTTTGGAGATGACACTACTTCCACGTAGCCAACTCAGTTTTTTGCTCCTTAAGATCTTGCAGTGGCTAGAGCAGCCTTCATAAACCCAGTGCCACTTGCACTGGTGGTTCTGCTACATTTAGAATCTTAAGTGGTTCTGAAGTCTCTAGCTGTCTATTTTTTAAAAAATACATTTCAAAGTGATTTGTAGTGTTGTGGAGTGTGTGCGTGTGCCCATGTTGGTGCTCTGGGATATTGTTTTCAAAGTACTCTCATACAGCACAGTACTTCCTGTAGCTGGTGTGATGCTCTTCATTGTGTTACATACAATTTGTGCTATATGACATCCTGGAAACATGAATAAAGGATTTGGAGGATTTTGTATAATAACAGGTGCATCTAATTCTGTGCTACAGATCCCAGCAAAGAAAAGCCAGATAAGCACTATAGGGAAGTAGCTGCTTTCGTTCAGGACATTTAAAAAGAACAGATTGGTATGGACAACAATTACACTTTTAGCAATCTAGGTTAAACATATTTTCATCCATATTTGCTATTTCTGTAATAAGCTGCTATCAGTTCTCTTAGTACCATATATCCATATAGGATATAACACTGGCAAAATCCAGCACGTACAAATTTCATTCAGTGGAAGGGGCCACTGCCAGCCAAAAGAAAACAACTGCAGTGGGAGGAGTGCAAACGCACACACATCCATAGCAATCCCACTCGGAGCAGCCAGTCTAGATGCAGTTCCCAGCAGGTACAATATCAGCCACCATGCACAGTGCTGGCCAGGCACCCAATAGAGCACCCACCCATACTAAGGCAGAATGAGATGAGCTACCATTAGCAAAGGCCAGTGGGTCAGAGCAAGCCTGCTAGTGCAAAGATAAGGCAGGCCAGGGGGAGGTTCACTCAAGTGTAGATTGCCCCTTGACTACAAGCTCCCCAACTTCTTCAGTTTCCCTTGAAGCCCATATCCAAATAGTAGCAGTGGGGGCAAGGGGATGTTTCTGGAGATCAGGACAGTGGTGCTCCAAAATCTGGGGGGAGGGGCCTGGCTAGGCAGTCAGTGGGAGGGTAGCCACAACAGTTGGTGGACCCTGGAGGAGTAGCATGCCTGTACAAAGAAAGGCAACTTATACCAGGGATGGTTCACAAGCTCATTGCACTGGAGCATTGCCAAGCACACCTTTTTTACACCTTTCCAGGAGTGCTGAGCAAAGCCACCTCCATGGTTTGATGACTTTGGGGGAGGGGAGCTGCAGCTGGGCCAGCTGGTCAGCCTCTTGGGCACTGCCAACTCCTTTCTCTGCTTCTCTTAACATGGCACCACCATGTCCATTTCCAGCCTATCATGACTGCTCCACACTAATGGTATCAAGAATGTCCTCCTGGGCTTGCATTACCCAGTAATAGGGCATTTCCAATGGAATGTGGCATGGGTAGTCCACCCTGTGGTCCCATGAGGCTACACTGCCAGGCTTCTGTGAGGTAGAGCGTGCAAAATTAGATATGTGTTCTATGAAACTGTTGGCTTCTGTCTACGCTATCTACATGATGGTGATATGCAATACCCAGTGTCCATCTCATGAATGCCACAATGCCAGAAAATGTTCCTAACTTCTAGATCCTTAGTTTCTAACCAGCTACATCTGCTAGAGGACCACAGGGGGCTTTTGGGTAGATGTGTGAGATGGATTAACACATAGCAACATCCAGACAGGAGAGGCCATTGATAACCCTTTTACTTCCCCATGCACACAGCTGAATACCCATGGATACTCAGTGAAGCCCTTTATTCAAATACTCATTGGGGACACTGAAGATGTGATTCCATGGCCTGCATCACATGGTAGGGCAATGTGACCCACTCTCCTGAGAAGGTATCCAGAGTTGTGATGGCCCGTGCTATTCCCTATATTGTCATGCACAGAAAGCTATCCATGGGCAAGGATAGTGCTGGGCTGCCACACCTCACTGTGGAAGGAGCAGACATGGTTGATGAGTGAGTTGCACAGGGTTGCAATCTTCATGCTGTTGGTACTTGGGACCACACAGGTAATTCATTTACAGACAATCCACTTGACTTGTGTAGCCCTTGGCATGCTTTCCTTTCTCCCCCCATGCCCACATTTAATAACAGATTTTGGAATTACTTGCATTTCTTTCTAACAGACATCTTCCATCAGTAATGTGGGGTGGTAACCAAGTACCCCCAGAGTTCAGGATGTTTACTACTAAAATGCAAGTGCATAAGGCCTGCAGCTCCTGCCAACCTAGGAGTTTGAAAGCACGTCAAGTGCAAGTAGATAAATAGGTACCGCTCCGGCGGGAAGGTAAACGGCGATTCTGTGCGCTGCTCTGGTTCACCTTAGTCATGCTGGCCACATGACCCGGAAGCTGTTTGCAGACAAAAGTCAGCTCCCTCGGCCTATAGAGCAAGATGAGCGCTGCAACTCCAGAGTCATCAGTGACTGGACCTACTGGTCAGGGGTCCCTTTACCTAGCCATCTGTCATGTATGATCTAGTTGAGATTCATGCATTGCAGGGGGTTAACTAGATAGATGATCCTCAGGATCCCTTCCAACCCTACATTTCTATGATTCTTTTAATTCTTAGTGTGAGCTGCCTTGCCTGTTTGTTTACAAATACAGTAAATCAATCGATAAATCCTTTGGCCTTTAAGCTGCTAAAAATATCTTTGTGTGTGTGTGTGTGTGTGTGTGTGTGTGTGTGTGGAGAGATATTTCTGCCTGCAGCAGACAACCACATGCACCGCACTGGAGTGCCTATTCAGGCTGCAGTTGTAAGCACAATTGCTGGAGACCAATTCCCCTTGACCTCAACTGAACCTCCTCCTGACTCAAGGCGTTTGGGCTTCAGAGGTACACGGAACCCCCGCTATAAACAACAGAACTCAGGCGACATTTCTAACCCATGGAGAAAGACATCGCGTTTCTGAAGCGAATGGTAACGCTCCCTCTGCCTCGAGCTTCCTTCTCCGTCTAAAAAACCCGATTTGGGGGGGGGGGAGGCGGCCCGTTGAGTCACGTGACCTCGCTCTGAAGACGAGGGCAGGGAGGAAGGAGAGGCGGCTTCTATTTCCATTGGTCTCTTTCGCGCCTTCACGGTCTCACATGACCCGCCCCCCCTCCAACGGAAGTCCCTCTGCTCCCGAGGATCTATGGTTTCTTTGTAGGAGGCGCTCCCCGCTGCGTCTATGGTCCTGGCGGGGCCGGACGGGAGGCTGGCGGATCGGCGTGCACATTCCTCCCCCATTACCTCACACTCGGCGAAGCGGCCGCCGGGATAGTGGAGGACCTGCGCTCTGTGCCGCCTTGCTTCAGCTCCCTGTGTAGCCGGCGGCGAGCCCGAGATTCCTCTTCCGATTTCGCTGTGCGGTTTCCCCCCTTCCCCTCCCCCCGCCCCCGGGCCGCCTCGTCCTCCCCTGCCCCGCTGGGTCCACTTCTCCGGCTCTCGCCCGCCTCGGCCCATGGCTCCATGAAGCGCGGGGCAGTCGAGGTGGCGGCGGCGGCGGCGGCGCTGGTGGCGGCGGCGGGGAGGCAAGAGCAGGAGCGGCGGCGGCGGCAGCGCTGGTGGCGGCGGCGTTGGTTGGGCTGAAACGGCGAACTGGGGAAGGGAGCCGTCTCCGCTCCGGGAAGAGAGAAGGTGGGGGCTCTCACGTCCTCGCCGCGAAGGAGCCGCCGGGGGGGGGCTGCTCAGATATTACCCCCCCCCTTGCGGGCTCACCTCACATTCCCCTCAACCCCCCCCCGGGGGCTTCATCCTCCTTTGCGCCGCTCTCGCTCCTTCTCTCTTCAGGTCTGGACTCTGGGGCGTCCCTCTTATCTCTCCCCCCTCCCGCATCTTCCTCTTCCTCGCGTCCTGCTCGGCAGCCCCCCCCCCCGTCAGGACCCGCTTTGTTGCTTTCCCCATGCTCGTGCACGGGGCCCTTCAACCTACTTCTTCGCCGACTCCTGGCGTGGTGCAGCGGCTACAGACCGGGGCTTGGACCCGGTTCAGGTTCTCGGTTCACCCGCCTGGGTGGCCTTGGGCAAGCCCGGCTATCCTTGTACATCTGTTTTGAGGATAAAGGCGACATAATACCTTGTTACGGCGGCGGAAATGCTTATGGAACAGGGCTAGTCACGTCCTCCTCTTGCATTCAGTACAGTCACGTAGGTCGTCTCTTCGCTCCTAAACAGGTTTACTCAGCTATAAGCTCCGTTTCAGTTCAGTGGGACTTGGTGCCTAGCGTGCCTTTTAGGATTGCAGGCTGTAGTCTTTTATATTCGTTTGCCATAAGCTCCTGTGTATTTGTACCATCCTGCTGTGTCCAGCTGGGTTTTTGCTTCCAGATAAGGGAGCATAGGATTGTGGTCTTAATTAGGAAGTAAAGTTCATTGGAATTAGGAAGTAAATTATTAGGAATTAGGAAGTAAAGTGCATTTTGGAATATATGTGCTTGCTCTGATGGTTTTCTGAAACTATTTCCATAAGACATTCGACTGCTGGTATTGCCCCCATCGACTACTCTAATAAGTGTGTCTACCCTTTGCTGTGTCTTCCTGTTGCTAATCATTTTATCTATGTAATCTGCCTTCTAACGCTATCAGTGCCATCAGCTTTGTATATGTCTGAGTTAAAATAGTGAAAGAGTTGGATCTCATACTTGGAGATGGCTTTAACATTTTATTCAGCTTCACCAGAGCAGAGTATCCCTGTTTTATTTTCTCTGCAAGTGTGGCTGATGTGCTAGAGGAGATAATTAGCCATGCTGGTGTATTCTATCCTAGTGTCAGTGTGGTCTTAAACTAAGTGAGCTAAGATGACAATACATGTCTGGTGAGGATCATCTGTAGAGGTGCTCCTGGTTATGCCAACATGCATCCATTTGGAAGTGTATGTTTTCTGTAGTGCCACACTTGTATGAAATTGTCTCTCCCCCCCCCCCCCGAAATAAGGCACATGCCAACAGTAAAGCAGTTCTGGCACATGCTGAAAACTTTGCTTATCATGGCATTTACTGGCTACTGATGCCAGCCATTATAAGATTCTCTAAGGATATTCTTATTGTCTGTCTGAAAGTATTTTAATGATTTTGATTGTATTTGTATAATATTTTATATTGTTGTACATATCCTTGGGATGCCTCTGCCAAAGGCAGTATATAAATATTTTAATAAATAAGGCCCAAGCACCCTGCACCTAATAGTTCTAGGATATTCCTAATACCTCCTACTTAGTACACCATTTCTTCCTGTATTAGCTCTTTCATTTTGCTTCTTTCACTATCTTTTGTACACTATCTGTACAAAAGTTCCCCCACCCCATAAGGAAATATAGTAGCATTGTCTTTCAGTGGTTTCATAGCAGTAGTTTCTCTGAGTGCATCTCATAGTAGCAGTAAGATGGACTTTGGGTCAAGAACAGAAAAGATAGAAAAGCCCACATTTACTTTGTGTCTCATGCACTGTGTTAACCTAGTATGCCTCTTTCCATCTATTTCACTAGCAGTGAGGTAGTGCATTTATAAGTCTAGTAGCTGAGCTCTTAATTCAGTGTTTAATTTTGCCTAGATATGATTTTATAGCCCTTCTTTACTGAATGTTTTTTTCCAGATTTGGGGAACAGGAATGGGCCGTGAGAAAAGAAAATTCATTCCAGATATAAAATAGCTTCCCCTTCCACTTGTCCATCTCCCCCTTGGCAATACAAGGTTTCTGCTTTCAGTAAGTATTATCTCAAGCATAATATGTTGAAACTTATGGCACAATGATGTTGCGAATACTGGTGACTGGTATTACCAAAAAGCATGGTGAAAGGGGAGAGCTTTACCCACCTTACAACCACCAAGGTTACTGTATTCTTTCTGCACCCCGCCCCAAACCCTAAGCTTGTTTTGTTTTTTTAAATTGCCACCCAGATCCAAAGTGATGCTCAAGGTTAGATAATATCCTATATATTTTGCAGCCCTGTTTCAGTAACAGAGCTCAAACTGAGATGAAATAGGGTGTTCAACCCAATGATTAGCAAAGCAATAAAATTATTTGATGTAATGTTAAAAGAAATTGCTGCCTATAAAACCCTTTTTCCATATGCTGAGGTGAGTGCAGTCAGGTGGGGATAGGATGGTGAGTTAATTGTTGGATAAAAAAAGAACTGAATAGATGGTTCATTGTTAAATTGTTTCTCTTTGCTGGCATTTACAAAATGTTAGCATCTGAAATACACCAGCCAGTTTTATCTAGATTTGCTTTCTGACCATTTGCATATAGGGAATAATAATTTTCTTATAAAATCCCTTGCAAACATCGTACATTCTCTGCATGCTTTGGATTGACTTCTGAGTAAATGCGCCTAGGTTTGTGTTGCATACAGAAGGCAGTTCTGGCCAGCATGCTAACTAGGCCGTTGACACAGGTGCAGCCACAATTGTAGAATTATCCCTCCTTTCTCATAGCCATTGTATAACCTTCCATTTATAACTAACACTTTTCAGCCCCAAACCAATACAAGGGCATTAGTTTCAACATTCTCTTTATGTAAAGAAGACTGAGGCCTACACTCAACAGAGAAAATTGTCCTGTTCAGTTTTTAATTTGAATTTAAGATAGTGACATGCAAGAAAGTTCAAAATCTAAGGCTGAAGGTCTCATTTCTATCTGTAATCTATGTTTTGTTAGAGGAATCCTTGATCAAACTCCTTGGTGGTTATTTGTATTTCAGTGATAATGGGCAAATTGCACTAATTCCTAAGAAAGGGTGGCAGCAGTAGACCTGCATATGGGAATGTCCAAGAAAGGAAGACTCACCCTCTTGACTCTACCAGGATAATAACTAGCATAGGAGAGGTGACTAGCATACTGCCTTCTTCCTCCAAAGTATTTATGACAGTGGGAGCTTTCACCTACTCGTTTTGCCCCAGTATACCTGTCTCCTGCTGGTAGGTGTAGGGGCTATCACTGCTGATCCGACTTTCCCAAGACAGGTGTGAGCAAGGGATGGATAGTAAGAATAACCTCTTAAGTTATAAGATTGCACATCTAGAAGATAGTGAAATGGCTGCAGCCTTTGTTCTAGCAAAAGGCCAAGTCTGTTAAACTGAATATTTTCAATATCTGGAAGACTTCACAGTTCCCTGTGCCTTAGGCCTTCTTGGACATAGTATTTTGCAAGTGAACTGAAGCCCTAGGTTGAAAGCAAACTAAAATTGCAAGCATACAATGAGCACTTTGTAGCACTGTGGCTGTTCAACCAATTGTGTGTGATGATGTCACTGAGCACATCTGGAATGTTTTTCTTGGGTTTATCTAGCAGCATTCTGCCTTAATGCATAGTCCAGGTTGAGGACTACTCTCCATTCCTATTGCTGTATGAGGTACTAAAACACGCAAATGGTCTGCAGTTACATTTAACTATTGGATCACATGTTGCTCATGCAAACTTCACGGTAATGTTCCTTTTCATAAATAAAGTCTACATGACCTTTGTAAAAAATGTCTTCATAACTGTGCACATCGGTCTGCTTTCTATTTAGTTTTCCAGTCTTGTGCAATCATATGTGAGCTTTCTTATGGAACTCGGGTTTTTAATGTGAGAGGTGTATTTTTCTTACTGTGGAAAAAATACATCCTTATAATTTGCTTTTCTTTTAGTATAATGCTATGTGTTGCATATTGTGTGTTTTGCCAGGGTTCTACAGTACTCCAGACAGCAAGTGCTGAATCAGGATGGGAAAAAGACGCTGTGTTCCTCCACTTGAGCCCAAGTTGGCAGCAGGCTGTTGTGGGGTAAAGAAACCCAAATTGTCTGGAAGTGGAACACACAGCCACGGGAATCAAGCCACAACCGTGCCAGTCTCTAGTTCAGGTCCTCTTCAGAACCACCAGCATGCAGATGGGGGCAATGGAAGGGAGAACGTATCAGATTTGACTTTATGCCCTGGAAACTCTCCAATTACGCGAATGAATCCCACTTCAGGAGCATTGAGCCCACTCGCCCGGCCTAATGGAACTGCCAACAGCACCAAAAACCTAGTGGTGACAGCGGAGATGTGCTGCTACTGCTTTGATGTACTCTACTGTCATCTTTATGGTTTCCCTCAGCCAAGACTTCCTCGATTTACCAATGACCCCTAGTGAGTAAATCCATGGGCATGGGAGGGAAACTGAAAATTCATCATCCAAAGTTCTTATGTTGTAGGGCTATTTGGAACACAGGTAAACTGTTAAGAAGGAATCTGCAGTGCTGTTTTGATGTTTGTAGGATGACATAAAATTTGAAATGAAACTGTTTTAAATGGTGGAAGCATAGGTAGATTGATCTATATTAGGCAAACATTTAAAATGGGCATGCGCATCCTACGGGGCGCATATTCAAGCACTGGATTTTACAGGGCCTTTGACATTGTAGCACTCTCAGTAACTAAAGAAGGTTAAGGGATTGGGAGCAGGCCAAAGGATATAATGCTCCTTTGCCTCTCCAATGCAAATTCCCCAGCCAAAGCAAGCCTTATGGTAAAGGTTTATCATGACACCCATCTTATCCATAGTTAATGCTACTCCACAGTCGGTATTAACCAGACTTGAGATCAGAGGGGTCTGTTTTCCACCCTTAAAAGAACTGAGAAGGGTTAGTGTTTTATACTGAAGTCTGATACTTTGTAGCTGTGTTATATATACTTTACAATATCAGTATCAAATTCAATATCTTCCTTTGTTGCAATTAGAATCTTCACGTTTGCAGAGCATAATTTGTAAGTGGCTCCATTATAACACTACATATTCTTTATTGTTGAGAAAAGTTGCATTTGGTGTAAAGGTTATAATTGGGAAACTAGGAAGCAGGAAAACAGCTTTTAGAAGAGGTTTGAAGTGAAATTGAATGAGGAGGTAGCCTTGCTTAGTGTGGCATAGGTTATGCAGTGCATTATATACCTTATACTTATTAAATGGCAGCTCTTTAAGAATATTATGAAGAAGATTGGAATTTGCTCCCCTAGAACTCCATTCCGATTTTTGCTCTAACTTCTTGTTTGAGTGATGTGAATATTGTGAGTCTCCAACAGAAAAAATATGTGGCTGCCTGCTAGAGCCAAGGGTGAAGCAGATATTTCAAAAGTAGCATGGCTGTTCCCGCATTTGGATCCCGTCCTTGAAAAGATAACTCGTGTCTTCTTAGCACTTCTTAGCTGAGATTGTGTTTTTCAAATATTTAGATCATTTGCCTCTAATGCAGATTTCACTGGAATTTTGTTGAACCATGACATGATTATTTTTTGGGTAAAGAGTATTTGCCCCACATAGCTGTCTTTTAAAATAAAAACAAAACCGTGCTTCCCTGCCATAGGCCAGCCACCACTGGCTCTTCATGATCAGGGTTGGTCTTGACTCATGGTCTGAAATCTTCTATTTTCCTAGGAAAATGTATTGAGAGATACATGACTTTAAGGGATCCAAAATTCGCCCCCCCCCCCAAAAAAAAATCAGAAGCTTGATAACTTGAGATTTGAGCCAATATATTTGCTGGGGAAATAGTGATTAATCACTTTTCCTGCATTATTTTCTCTACAGACAGATTGGTCCAGTCTGGACAATTATATATTGGGTTAATAAGCAAAGATATGCCCAAAAATTTTACCCACGCATGCAACTTGCCCTTTATGGTGTACCTGAACACAAAGTGGGTATCATCAGTTAACCATTTTTTCTCATTTTGTCTGAACTGTAAAACTATGATTACCAAGTCAGGAACAAGCCAGAAAATCAAACTGTTGTTGGCAGTTGGTTTAAGATCTTGGCTTGTTCTGAACCTGGTTGTGGGAGTTTCCACTTGGAAGAGATGGACACTGTTGCTAATTGAAGACTTGTATCTTGCATTCAGAAACTCCAAGGAAGGAAGTGGCTGCTTGCATTGGTACCAGCTTTATTTATATCTTGGTTTATTAAGCCAAGATATGATCATCTGAATACAGCTAAAAATAGAAATATATATTTCTGAAGGTGATCATTGAAACCCAGCATTGTCACAGTAACATCACATTATATCATATCTGCAGGCATATCAGAATGAGTGTCTTTGCCTGTGCTTTCTGTGGTACAAATCTGGATAAACTGGCTAGAAAAATCACATTATCCTAGGTTCCTATAATCTGGAAGCTAGTGTTGAAAAATGCTGATTTCTTACATCTTCCCCATTCAGGAGCAGTATCAAAAGTTTGCTGCACATTCATAGGAATTTGAGTTTAATTTTTATAGCCATACTGTAGTAGTATGTTGAAATTATGGGGGTTGGAGGAGAGAGAAAGTCAGCGAATAAAAGTCCAGAGTTTTTGATTAGACTAAACAAGCCTTTTTTCAGCCCTAGAATTTGGAGTTTTTCTTGAGAGTGAGAAATCTGTTGTTTAAGCCATCCCTTCATCTTGGCTCCCCTGATTTGCCCTCCCTTCTCTTCCAGAGATTTGTGCCTGTGGAATTAGCACAGGAACAGAAAGTGGATGTGGTCATTCTATCTTTAGTATTCACTTTTTTATGTATACACTCAGACCCCTGTTGAGAGGGAAACAAAACTTTGGAATAGTTTATCAAATAGCAACACAAGACCACAAAGGGGCATCCCGAGGAAGTGGCATCTTAAAGATCAGAAGTTACCACCAGGTGGGTAACAGTGCTTCTTACCAGCTAATCTGTGCTCTTATCTGTCAAAGATTGGAGCAGTTAACTCAAGATCAATCAAAAGGATTACTAAAATTTTCACACCCTCTCCCCAGAACTGTCCAATGTACAGTCTTCTGATAACAACATGCTTGGAACCAAAGTGACCATCCATCCATGACCCTTATGGTGCTTTTAGAGCCTCTTTGAAGTGGATTAGTCACTTCTAGACTGCTGATCAATGGAACCTGATCTGATCTCGTCTATCCAGAAATTAGTATGCACCAGCTGTGCACTCTTGTCATTCCTTTTGTTTTTCATGTAGTTTTGATGTGTGTAATATATCAAGAAGGCTGACTGAATGCTGGGCTAATCATCTCCCCAGTAGTGGGAATCTGAATACAGCAGCCAAGTTAAACAGTCTGCCCAAGGACATGCCAGCAGAGAGTGATATGCTTCTGCTGTGTCAGACTGTGTGTGTTGTTTTCTGTTTTAAAGGCCAAAGACTCTTATCACAGAATGCCTTCCCCAACCTAGTGACCTCCAGATGTTTTGAGCTACAACTCCCATCATCCCTTACCATTGATCATGTGGGCTGGGGCTGATAGAAATCCTGGAAGGCACCAGGTTGGTGAAGGATAGCGAATAATCTCATGTGCAGTGTGATAATGAACTGGCAACCCTGATTGCCTCTCTTATTTGTGTGCGCAGTTGGTCTACATAAGGCTGTATGGATTCAACTACATAGAGTTCGACTTCTCCCTCTAAGATGAAAAAGCATGCATCACGTGGAGGGACATAGCAGTACATATTTCAGCTTTCTTCAGCTTGGTATCCTCTAGATATGTTGGATTAAAACTCCCATTATCCTTACAATCGGGCATGCTAGCTGTGACTGATGGGAAATATACCCCAACAACATCAGAAGGGCACTGGGTTTGGGAAGGCATGGTTTATTACTCAGGTGCTCTCCTGGGGAACATTGCTGGTTGCAAGAGGTGGCATATTAAGGTTTCATTTTAGTCACAAATATTTAGAACTTGAAATAACCTCCTGAATATTTGTGACTTAGGAGAAGCTTGTCTTTTCAGCACTTGATAAAGCTGTACTGTGCTGGAAATTGCATTTCTTTAATACATCTATCTATTCGTCCAACCTAAATAACCAGATGATGCCTCCTAGATCGTAGTACCTGTGATGATTTACTAGTACTTGGGTCCAGGAGAATCCTACACATTTAAATAAAACATTTTACCAATTGTGTCATTATTACTTGACTTCAAAAGTCAGACCTGTTCCCTGTGTGGCTTTGTTTTTTGCATTAAAAAACAAGTGTTGATTCAATTTGTTTGATGAAGAGTCATGGATCCAGTTTCAGATTTCTAAGTATAGGCATGGCAGATTTGTTTATATGAAGTTTATGTTCCAGGGTAATACCTGAACTTACAGTAGTATAATTTATTAGGCCAGCCGAAATATCCCAAAGGTAGTGTTCAAGCTTTCAGGTTCACCAGATCTCTTTCAGGCTGGATATTAAGTCAAAAGGGAGGGGGGAAGATGTTGATGATAGTGATGAGAGAGCTCATGTCTGCAATTGAACATTTAAGATGGAATAGAGAAGATCCTAAATACACTTACTGAGGAGTAAATTCCATTGAACTTAGTGGGGGTTTACTCCTCATGGAATCAGTTAGCGTTTTGAGATTTTATTTATTATTAAATTTTCCACAGTGCTTTTATCGTTGCAAGTGCATCTCTTGTCACTGGAGGAGCCAAAACTGGATGGTGGTATGGGAGGATAGGAGTGGTGTCAAATTCTAAACACCCCCTGTACCTACTATAGGTACATCAGCCTGACATCCTACGTTGCAGGGGCTTGGCCTAGATGACCCTTGAGGTGCCTTCCAACTCTACAATTCCATGATTACACCAACAAAAGAGGTGCAAGTCATAACTCAATTATCCCATTAAGCTCAATGGAGACCAAGAAGCTACCCTACTCTGCCCTGGCATAGTATAGGATTCAAACTAAGTTTGGATTTAGTCACAGCACATCCCTACCAACATCTAACACCCAAACATAACTCAGATGATAGCATTTGCTGCATGGAGCTGTACGGCTTTGGTTCCAGCATTAAGGGGGAACTTTGGTTATGGGAACTATGTAGAAAAAGCACCTGACATAAAAGAAAGGGAGCACTTGTCACGAACATCTTGTACTCAGAACACATTGCCGATACTTGTCGTCTTAGAACCCATACAGGTATATCGCCTCAGGACACAAGCAGCCAACAACACCTCTCATCTGTAGCCAAGGATGCAAGAACAAAGCACCTTGAAGAGGTAAGCAAGGGGAAAGGGGAATCTTTTCAAAGTGTAACTGGTGCGACCTTGCTATATCATGGCTAAATTATATTGGTGGAAAGACCCTTTTTCTCGTCATACCTAGAAACACCTTTACAAAGAAGCACAAGGCTAAGCATGTCGAAAGGGGTGCCATGGTGGCCATGAAACCCCCATATGTAAGAAAACTATAAATGAAGGACAGACCCTAACCATTAACACATGCTCATGATTCTTTTTGTCATACAGGATCGTGACAGCCTGGACACATGGAGCAGGACGAATGCAGTACCCAGAGTTCTGTTGTAACTCCCTAAAAGAGAGGTAGGTATTGTCTCAGTTTCTACACTTTCTCACCCAACAGAGGGAGGGAGGTTAAGGCTAAGGGTATTGGATGAGCACCTAGGTGATAGCACTCACTCAAATCACCTCCTCACAAACACCTATTACACATATAGTTCCAGAGACTATGCTGACTATTACTTTAGTGCTCTCCTTTTGTCTCTTCGATTTTCCAGGTGCAGAGAACAGGACACATTCCACCCCCAGTGCCATGCAGATCTCAAGTGAAGCCTAAAGCGAGACCAGCAGTTGCGACTATTGTGATTCTAGCCATATATATCAATCCAGCTACCTTGTAGAAAAGCAAGATTTTGTATATTGAAATATCTGATACTGTGCAATAAAAGTTTTCATTTGTAGCAACAGATGTTTTTGTTTTTTGTCAGTGTGGATGGTACTAATCCCATCCGCCAGTTCTCACTGGTCTCAAGATGGGAACTCTGACCTGGAAAGGGTTGGCTTATTATTAGAGCTCAGGGTCTGTAATGGCTCCATGCTCAAATGAAGGTAGTGGGTAGGCTCCTCAGAGTTTGCAAATGGCCTGATTACTAAAGTAAGTGAAGCAGTCAGTTGGCACTGAGGGCAAAATGCATGATGAGGTCTGGTACAATAAACAGCAGCTAGCTAATTATGCCGATCAATTCAGCATTTTCCCTGATTGGATGACACAGCACTTACTCAGGTGTACCAGTCTGAACATCTCCGAACAGTGACTGCTGAGAGGCTATATCAGTGGCTTGAATCTGGAACTCCTTGCATAGTAGAGCATTGGAGTTGCATGCAGAAGGTTCTTGGGGTCTCCAGGTAGAGCTGGGGAAGACTCCCTGCCTGAAATCCTAAAGAGCTGTTGCCAGTCATTATAGACAAGAATGAGCTTGGCGGATCAATGTTCTGACATGTTATAAGATAGCTTCCTATGTTCCTTCAGCTTTTCCACAGGGCATGGGTTCCTTATGTAGTCCATATGCTTCTGATATAAATGGATTCTAATTCTGTCTATTCCTCGCTCTTGCATCTGACATGACTGAGAAAGGCCAGGCATATTGACTACCCCAGTATGAACAGTCCATCAGCCTTGCTTAGCCCATACACGAAGCACTTCCATCTGTTTAAACTAGACAAGCTTTTTCATCTTGCTTTCTTTCTCATACATGCACACACTCTTTGGTTGTTATTTGCTTAATATCCATCCTGGAGAAAACATCTGGTGAACTAAAAAACTGGCTTGGTACTTTGTTGTCTTTCAGTTGTTCCTCACAAATATATTACACTGTTGTTGAATTTGGTTCTTTCAACACAAACATGTTTTTTGTCTGCATTGTACGCTAGGTTATTTTAAAAACAAGGAATACTATAATTGAAATGTATTTTTTAAGATAACATTATTTTGATTACATTTCTGTCCACACTGAGTAGGATTTTGTTCCATTAAATTGTTAGTGGGATGTAACATAGGGTTTACCTGCTAATTTTTTAATTCTAGAAATATCCAGATTTTTATCCATTCTGTACCCTATTATTTTTTTTGGCATATCACAATTCTTGGAACTTGTTCAGATTCAACTACAAAGCTGAATCCGCTCAAGAGATTTGCAAGTTCATTTGGAGAACCAGGTCTGATCTTAGGATCCGTTGCTCTTTTCTGGTGCACACACAACACTCAGGTGTAGTTTGTTTAATGAACCACAAGTCTCATAGGTCAAACAAATCATGACTAGTTTCTCCAAAGTTTGTTCTCCCCCTCCCCCCCCAGCTGCTCTTTCTGTCATGCCTTTGTAGCCTGGTGAGGATTTGTGGTACGGTGATTTGGGGGGGGGGGGTTTCACACACATCACCAAGCCATAATTAATACAAATCAAGGTTTATAAGCCAATAAAAAATACAGCTTTGAATCACTGTTGGCAGTAAACAAACCATGGTTAAGCTGCTAGCCAGGGTTCACACATAATGCTAGGTTATGGTTTAATAAACCATGGTTTAGCATTACGTGCAAACCAGCCTACTGAAAATTTCTCAAATGCCTTAGTAGCCCAAAGCAAAAAAAATCCTTTTCCCCAACCACAGTCCCAATCCTGATATGCCAATCACAGTTCTTATCTGGGGCAAATAACAGCTGTGGAGAGGGGTGATTGGATTGGGACCATAGCAGGGGATGTGTATACTTATAATTGAATCAGAAAAATGGATGTACTTTTTTTAGTTTTATTCTGATTTGTTCTTTCATTGTGGCCCATCATATATTATTTTAGCCTCCATATGAGATGCCACTTGAAATCCTGCTTATACTGCTTTATAAGTTCTACTCAGTGGTTTGTGGCTGGAGCAGTAACTGAGTTAGGCAGAGTTACGATTTGCTCTCTGATGTCATCCTGCGCACTGCCTGCATGTGACTTAAGTACTTTCAGAATTGAGGCAGGGAATACTGTGGTCTTTTAGTATAAGCTTTATATGCAAAATAGGGAACGTTATTGGTACTGTGGTTAGCACTTGAGGTCAGAGAACGTTACCTCCAATTTTGTATGCATTGGGGAAAGAGAGATATGAAAATTCTAGAAGAGATTTGAAAGTGTACCTATCTACCTACCTGCAACCCAGGATAACACTTCATGTATCTGATAGTGGACTGTAGTCTGTGAAAGTTTTATGACATAATATGTTTGTTAGTCTTTAAGGTGCCACAAGATTATTTCTTGAATTATCCTCGTTGAGATAACGTGGGAGCTGCATCCCAACACTTGTGACTTAATTATTTACTGTATTTTTACTGGTACGATCTGTATCTATTCAGAGCAACCTTTATTAAGCTGAAATACAAAATACTCAAATAAAACAGCAGAGGGCATAGCTCTCAAAAAGTACTGCCTTTGGAAAGAAGACAAAGATAAGAAAACTGAACATTTCAGAGTTCAAAGATGCCTACAGTAAAGGCCTTGTCCTAAAAGCAGATTTGTCCCAAGACTACTAGAAACCAGATCAAAATGAATCCAGATAATCAGCTTCATCCAGGAGTCACTAGAGTTATCTATCCCCTACCCAACCATGTTCCCCCAAAAGACAAAATTGAGACATATGCTAGTTGTGTAAGAATAAAAAATAATGTTTATTATAGAGAGGCCTCACAGCCACCTTCAGTGTAGCTAGTAAGGTCTTCCACATTTGTGGACAAAGATTAATTTGTAATAAAATTAGGTGTGAAGGGTTTGGGTGTGTTTAACCTGGAGAAGAGATTATTAAGAGGTAATACTAATATATTTGAAAGGTTATCACATAGAAGGTGAAGCAAATTTATTCTTTTGCCACTTCAGAGTGTAGGACCTGAACAGATAACTTCCTATCAGTATGAGCTGTTTTCTCAGAGGCTGGATGGCCACCTATCAGGAATGCTGTAGTAGTGAATTATTTGAAGATGGAGTTTTTGTGTTATGCATTTTCAGTCCACTCTTTGTGACATGGAAGACAGGGCGAGACAAGCGACTTCGGGGCTGCATCGGAACTTTCTCTGCCATGAATCTTCACTCAGGACTCAGGGAATACACATTAACCAGGTAAAGACATCATCCATACTGCCTCACATCTGATGGGAAAGCAGGCACAGTGGGGCATCCATGTTGTGATTTCCTATGTCTTGTCTGAGGCGTCATGTATATCCTGCTGCTCAGGCAGATGTTCTCCACCAGAATTTTCTGCTACCCAAAATTAGAATTGAGGAGTCACTGTTGTAGCTGACTGTATAATGTAATATGGCTTCCAGTTAAACAGTACACTGCATTCTTTTGTTTGGCGCTGGAAAACCATCTTCAAAGCATGGTATATAAAGTAGCAATTTTGGATGCAAGCATGTTATAGCAGTACTTTGATTAGCAGTGCACTGGATTCCTATAACCTACAGGCACAATGTAAGTTAGTGGTTTATTTATTGTTTTTACCCATGATGGGGGTTTCAAGGGTGCACACCCACTTTGCAAAAGCACCCCTCCCCCAGGGGGAATATGGTTGGAAGAAGACATAAGGCTGCAAAGCAGAACCGAATAGCAGGCAGCAGCCCTGCTGCTGAGATAGGCAGCCACGTCACTAGGTGACCAGTTCACTTGAGCCAGAAGGAAGCCTCATTGTGATCAATAGCCTGCATAAGGTTAATGGCATGCTCGTTACTAAGGCAAGGTATTCTCTATTAGCATCAAGTCCAGTTTGTCTGGGTTCTTGGCAGAATGTGAGTGTTTTGGGGAAGCATTTCAATCTCTTCCCATTTCATCATTGTAATAGTCATAGACAGAAATCTTAGTCCATGGCTCTACCTTTGGTGTTCCATTCTATATTTTATTTACTTCTCCATGTAATGTGCTTAAACCTGTTCTGACCTAAAGTGATGTCCCTTGTCCTGGGATGAAATAAGGCTGCAAATGTAAGAAAATGCTTCATTTAAACCTTATGGTGCTTGTTTTTGGTTGTGTGTGTGTGTTCTGTTCCCCTTCTATAGTGCACTTAAGGACAGCAGGTTTCCACCCCTGACTCGTGAGGAGCTGCCTAAACTTTTCTGCTCTGTCTCCCTCCTCACTAATTTTGAGGATGCCACTGACTACTTGGATTGGGAGGTGAGAACAGGTGCATTTGGATCTCTGCATCACTGTCTCATACCATTTGGGTTCGGGTTAGTATATGGTAATGTGTCTGTTTTATTATCAGGGTAGATTGTGGTTATATAGCTAGAAAAATGAGGTTGGAAGACTGACAAAGAATGCAAAAGTGGAATAATATATCAATATTACTTCAGTTAAGCGTATGAGAAGGGAAGATAATTATTAGACTAACGTTGCAATCCTAATTCCACTTAACTGAATTCAATAGAAGTAAATCCCATCGAAGTTCCTGACATGATTAGGATTGTACCGTTCAGGGTCATCCTGTGCACATTTATATGAAAGTAAATTTCATTAAACGCTTTGGGACTTGCTTCTGTGTAACAAGCATAAGACCATACTGTTATAGTGGCATATGGGGTGAAGGACATATATTTTACGTTTTGAAATAGTGGGGCTTGCTGAAACTAATGAATTTGGTCTGCCTTGGAGAAATTGCCTCTGGGGCCAAAAGAGATGGCAGTACACAATAGAGTTGTCCTAGGAAATGACTTATGATATCGCAGATGCAAGAAATGGAAGCAAGGTGGAGGCCTTTATCCTGACAAGGTTGGACTGCTGGTAGGATGCATGGCAGCTGGAAAATGTTTTGTACATTGTTACAGGAACTACATCTCAGTTGACTTTTATGTTTCCATTGCTAGGTGGGAATCCATGGAATCAGAATTGAGTTCATCAATGAGAAAGGTGTCAAACGCACAGCAACATATTTACCTGAGGTTGCTA